ACACCTCTGTCAGAGGCGTCAGGCCTGGGCAAGGGGCCGATCCTGCGATTGGAGGGTGATGGGGGTCAACGCCTGAGGGCTCCCAGTATGTGAGAGGGGGCAGGCTGGGCTGAGGGACACTCCCCCCTCCCCCACACACACACCCAGTGCACGAATTTCGTGCACTGGGCCCCTAGTTACTACAAATAAAATACAAATCATTTGAAGTTTGCTCTCAACTATCCTTCAGCATAAAATTACTACTCTTAATTATAAAGGTAAAATTCAATCTTCCCCAATATTACCAATAAAACCATCTCTGGAATGTTGCTTGTAATATTATAAAAAGTACTAGAGGCCTGGTGCACCCTGTGGGATCAGGCCTACACCAGCAGTTGGACATCCCTCTCACAATCTGGGACTGCTGGTTCCTAACCACTCACCTGCCTGCCTGCCTGATTGCCCCTAATCGCTTCTGCCTGCCAGCCTGATCACCCCCTAACTGCTCCCCTGCCAGCCCGATCGCCCCCAACTGCCCTCCCCTGCCAGCCATCTTATGGCTGTGGGCACCACCATCTTTGGGGGGGGGGGGGGGAGGCAGTCAATTAGCATATTCCCATTTTATTAGATAGGATTAATTGACAAAAGTACTTTTTAAAAAAAAATAATTCTCTGGATAGGCAAAAATTAAAGAATAAGCTGTGATGTCTCATTTATCCATTATTCCCAAGAAATTAGATAGTCCACACAAATCAACTTTAGAGAGATATTCTGAAGCACCTCTCTGTACAGGTGTGTACACATATACACACATTTTCCTCCCACTTCATTCTGAGGCCATTAACTTCATGTGACTGTTGTGAGGATTACATAAATGATAGAAATAAGCTCCTCATATATGTTTAGTACTATAATTACTCACTCATCCTATGAGTACTGAATGAACACCTGCCATGGGACAGGTGCTGTGTTGACACTGAGGACCCAATGGTACACACAATCAGGTAAGGCCCTGCCTTTGTGGAGCTCTTCATAACCTCTGACTTCATCTGTCCTCATGTTCTGCACCAGCCCCTCTGGCCTTGCTGCTTTTTGGCCAAACACACCCCTGCTCTATCCCCCAAGACTAGCTTCCTCACTACTTCAAGTCGCATGTCACTGTCTGAAAGGCCTCCCGACCACCTTATGTGGAAAAACTCTACCCTCCCAACTATGACATCACGTCCCTTCCCCTGCTTTAGACTTTCTTCTTAGATGTCCACCAATGACATCATCAGGCCTATATGGATTTGTTCTTGATCTTTGTTTTATTCACTTAGGGAAGATGCTGGTATACACCATGTCCTTGAGAAGGCACTTAAAGCAAACAGACACACACTCACCTGAGCCTGCGTGTGTTCCACTGGGGGTGACGAAGGCAGCGGGACCTTGAGTTCCTGGACACATGTCTCTATGAGGGTGGCATCTGCAATACTGTTTAGGACAGAAAAAGAAACCCCTTCAGATGATTAGTAGGCTTCTAACTAAAGATTCATTAGTCAGAATTTGAAATCTGAATTGTAACCTTGAATAGAATTCAAGAGAAAGGATTTTTATAAAGAAAGTCAATGTTTATAAAAAGCTATTGTGCAACACAGGAAAAGATCTTATCAGATGAATGTGGGAAGCAAAAAATTCTGAAGAAAAATATCTAACGAAATCTTATTAAAACATTACTTCTAATCCTCATATTAACCCCACTGAGTAGGTGTCATCAATGATACTCCAAAGAGTAACTTTCCCAAGTCTGCAACACAAGTGAGTAAATGACCTCTAAGTAGACCTTAAGTTGGACTGAATTACATATCTAAGGACTTTCTTACTATACCACATAACCAATAGGAAAATCAGAAAAAGTTATGTCAGAGGCTTATTAATATTAGATAAATGAATGAACCAAATCATAATTTCCCTAAATTCTATGAGAATACTTTCAGTCTCCAGAACTAAATAACTGCAAATCAATTTTATGATCTTTCAACCCATGGACATTATTCTTTACGACCACGAGGGAGCTAAATCCCCAAACTCCTTCCTTCCAGTTAGAATGACCAAGGGGACTGACTATTCCTTGGGTGTGGTGGAAGATAAGTAGGGCTTAGAGCCTCTGAATTTTACGAAATCAGGATTTTTTTTTGAGGGGGTGGGCTTAATAGTCAATATAACAAACCAATATGAGCGGCTTAATGGATCTAAAATAAAAGTTGTCAGTACAATTCTGGCAAAAGCAAAAACCTGCAGTCTAATGAGCCTTCAAATGATGAAGAAATATCCAGAACATGAAGCCATACAGTGAGTCATGAATACAGCTGGTGGGATTCACCTCCACCACCATGGCTCTCTGGGAGTACTTCTCTCTTACCCACAGAGCAGCTCTATGAGCCGAGCCTGTCGGAAGGCAGATGCTGTGTCTTGTGGAGCAATCACCAGGAGGCTGTCTGAGAGGCTGCAAATAGCTGACAGCAGGGGTGGGGTGACCAGGATGCATGGTCTGGGCAGGAGAGCAGAAAGGGAAGAGTCATGAGGGAGCCGTGGGGACACTGTTTCAGGCTGACCTAGGATTGAAAACAAGCATAAAAATGTCACTATTTGGTTTACTTTGCGGTTATGTGCAATAGTCTCAAACTCTGATGATCAGAGGAAAGTTCCTGAACGTGCCCAAGAGAGATGGAATTCCCTGAGTGCTTGATGCATCTCAACCCTGAGGATGGAGATTTAGACATCCACCTCTACTGTGTGCGCACGTACATACATGTACACTTGTGAATGTGTCTGCATATCCATGCACACAATACACAAGTGTGTGCATATACATGTACACACGGTTGTCTCTGTTTGCATGTACATGTACACGTGTGTGTGCCTTGGATGAAAGTGCAAGGGCCCGATAAGAAAGGCAGAGCATGGTGTTGTGTCCCAAGCACTCAGAAACAGAGGAACAAATACACCATCCACAACCCTTTTTCTGAGATTTGGGATCAGAGTGTTTCAAACTCAAAATACTGTTAGATTTTTGGAAAGATAGTAACTACAAATACCACATGTTAATTGACACCTCCAGCAGGATCTTGGCAATAGCATAACACCACCTCTACACGTAGCATGTGCACAACCACAGTAGCAAATGACTAGAGGGCAGGTGCTGCAGCCACATGCACTCACGTATGAGCGAGGGTTCTCACGAGTGAGTCAGAAAACATTCAGTGTTCAGAGACTCTGGGTTTTAGAACTGACAACATGAGACTGGAGCTTCCCTAGAAGACTCGGCAAGGAATAGCTAAAAAGAAAGCTGATCTGCCTCAAGATTCTCTTTCATGACCCTCACTCCTTACTTCTTTTTTAAAGAAATATTATATTTTAAATAAATTCAGTTTAACAAAAAGTACAAAGAATTCCATATACCTTCAGCGAGATCCCTAAATATTAACACTTCATCACATTTTAGCTATTTACCTACCTATCTTCTTATGTACTACTAGAGGCCCAGTGCACAAATTCGTGCACGGGTGGGGTCCCTCTGCGTGGCCTGCAGAGATCGGGCCCCTGCTCGCAATCCCAGCCTCACAGCCCTGCCTAGTACCCCACCTTGACCTGGCGCCACCCTCTCACCTGCTCTACCATCCTGCTTGCTGGACAATCGATCGGGGCCAGTCCCCAGCCCGGCTCCCTCAGCACCTGGGAGCTGGGCAGTGGCCCTGGCCCCGCCGCCACTGGTCAACATCTGCGGGGCAACCAGCGGGGTGACTGGGTCCCCACTCACACCCACCTTGGCCTGGCACCGCCCGCTCACCTGCTCCACCATCCCTCTGCAGTCCTACTCTCATCAGGGACCATCGGGGCTGACAGTTCCTCCACTGCCACCTGCTGCCAGCGCTGCATCGCCAATGCCCACCATGTTCCACGCCACCCCTGGTGGTCAGTGTATGTCATAGCAAGTGGTTGAACTCCCAGTTTCCCAGTCCAATGACTGCCCAAGGGGGCAATTTGCCTATTAGGCTTTTATTATATAGGATTTGTAAGTTGCAGACAAAATCCCCTTTAATTTTCTAAACGGGGATTTTGTTTTTTATAATCACAGGACAATTATCAAAACCAAGAAATTAACAATGAAACAGCAGTACTTTCTAATCTGCCTTTTCCAAATCACACATATTATCCAATGAATGTCCTCTATAGCAGCAGTCGCCAACGGGTGGTCCGCGGAACACTGGTGGTCCATGAGATCCGAAAGTTTAGTGACCACTGCTCTACAGCAAAGGAAAAAGTCATTTTCCTTGTTTGGATCCAGGTTGGGATCATACTCAAGTCCTCACCTGGAGGAGCTGCCCCGCCTTGCTTGGTCTTTCAGGACCTGACACTGGTTATGTGGTAGGTCAGATGCTGGGAGTTTCCTCCTGAGGAGACCTCCAGCACACCACATCAGGAGAATCATGATTCCTCCTTGTCCCATTATTGGTGGTGTGAACTTTGGACTTTTTGATCAAGGTGGGGTCTATTATGTTTCTCCACTATAAAGTTATAGTTTTTCCCTCCATAATTAATTCCTTCAGGGAGGCACTTTGGGACTATACATTATAAAGAAAGATTATTTTTTGAATCAAATAAAACTGGGAAAATTAAATTTAGGTACTTCCACAGAAATAGTTCAAATGGTTTTAAGGGAAATTTTTATTTTTTTTTATTTTTTTTTTTTTATTTTTTTAAAATATATTTTATTGATTTTTTTACAGAGGAAGGGAGCTCTATCCACTGAGCCAGACCGGTTTCGGCTTAAGGGAAATTTTTAAATACTATTCACAAACTATGTGTTACATGTCTGTCTAGGGCAGCCGTGGGCAAACTACGGCCTACGGGCCGGATCCGGCCCATTTGAAATGAATAAAACTATTGAAATAAAAGGCTGTACCCTTTTATGTAATGATGTTTACTTTGAATTTAATTAGTTCACACAAACACTCCATCCATGCTTTTGTTCCAGCCCTCTGGTCCAGTTTAAGAACCCATTGTGGCCCTCGAGTCAAAAAGTTTGCCCACCCCTGGTCTAGGGCAAGCATGCAGCAGAGAAGAACATGAGCAAAACAGGAGGAGCACAGCATTGAGGAAACTCAAACTCACTCAATATTTTCAATATAATTTTTATATTTTATCTGGACAGAATTATCCCAGTTATCTATATGTATAATACTCAAATAGACTAACATTCTTATTTTTTAGTAATTGAACTTTATAAATCAAATGTAGGCTTAAAGACCATGAGACCCTGTTAATGGTTTTCTTATAACATAAAATAATTTTCTTTTAGAAAAGTTAGAAACTAAATTTAAAAATGCAAAGCTGGATGTCTAAAGGGGCCCTAATGTATATGCCAGAACAAATACTTGTTATCCTGTTCTAAGTTACACTGGGACATGATAATCCCCAAGTTAATCAAGAAGAACAGAATAAGAAATAAAAGGACTAACCAGCTGCACTGGAAAATCCTGCCAGACGTTCCAACTGAGGGAACTAAAATCTCATTATCACTTATAAGAAATTGTATCTTAATACTATTTAAAGACATCTAAGCACCACACACTGCTCTGGTGTTGAGGCTCACTGACAACTTAAGTACAATGCTCTCCAGCACCGTACAAGGACTGTGAAGACTCCACAAAAAGGTGAGAACATTTTTTCTGTCAAATACATACACTGAAGGGATTGGTGATAGGCAAAACTGTGCATGAACATACATTCTAAGCACCGTCCTTGAAAAGAAAATAGTCCAAATCAAGAGTAATGAAACAAAAAAACCCACACAAGTATACATATGTCCACACACAAAAAACTGTACATAAATGTTCATAGCATTATTATTCAAAATAGCCAAGCGAAACAAATACAAATGACCATCAACTGATGAATGGGTAAATAACAGATGGTATGTTGATGCAGAAGAATATTATTTGGAAATGAAAAGGAATTAAGTATTGACGCATGCTATAACATGGATGAATCTTGAAAACATCATGCTAAGTGAAAGATATCAGACACAAAAGGCCACATGTTGTATGATTCCATGTATATGAAATGTCCAAAAACGGGCAAATCTATAAAGAGGGAAAGTATATTAATGACTGTGTAGGGCTGGGGAGGATGCGGGAGAGGGGCAGTGACTGCTAATGGATACATGGTTTCTTTGGGGAGTGATGAAAATATTTTAAAACAGATTGTGGTGACAGCTGCACAACTCTGTGAATATATTAAAACCAATGAATTGTACCCTTAAAATGGGTGGACTGCATGGCATGTGAATTATATTTCAATAAAGTTGTTTAAAAAAGAGTAATATAACATAGTCTTAGAGATAAATATTCATGAAATTCGTTATCAAATTTTATTTTGTATTCTGTATCCTTAGCTATTTGAACAATCTGAGTTTGCTCCTTTTGAGCTCAAGAAAATCAAATAAGTATTTCCTACAATTAAACACTTTCATATATTATCAATATAAACTGCTAAAAACCAAAATGGGAAATTGTTTAGGAAGTTATGGAACAAATATTGAAATAAAAATTCAGATTAATGTCTTAAGCAGGTATTTCTGAAGTTTTAGAAAGCATTTTCTGCACAGACACTTATACTTCAGTGTTTAAAATTACCTTCTCTTGCCAAAACCGGTTTGGCTCAGTGGATAGAGCGTCAGCCTGCGGACTGAAAGGTCCCAGGTTCAATTCCGGTCAAGGGCATGTACCTGGGTTGCGGGCACATCCCCAGTGGGAGATGTGCAGGAGGCAGTTGATCAATGTTTCTCTCTCATCGATGTTTCTGACTCTCTATCTCTCTCCCTTCCTCTCTGTAAAAAATCAATAAAATATATTTTAAAAATAAAATAAAATTACCTTCTCTTTAGATAGTGTATTCCCTGCAGGTTAGGAATTTAATGCTAAATTATAACCTTCAAGTATAATTATATATGTACATGTACATGTATATACATTTGGAAGCATAATAGAGTTGGAAGCAGTCCCTAACACAAAGTATAAAGTTTATATATTGCCATTAACAAAAATAAACCCGAGGCTACTCATTACTCATTTGAAATAAAGATTCCATGGATTCTGTGTGCTTTAAAATGGAAGCACAATCTTTGAAAAACACTCAGGATTAGAATCTCTTCACTTTCACAATCACTGTGGTAAATTAAAGTGTTTTTTCAAAGGAGGGAAAAAAATGAAGTTAACTATATTCATAGTTCCCCAGTTATCTATGTTTAACTAAGAAGGAACCATATGGCAGCCAGACTATTTTTGGGATGGCAAATTCCCATTTATTAGTTAAAAGTATTTGTTTTGTTACTCTCTGATATATGTATTCTAATTTATTCCATCATGTTCTGTGACATTTCGTTTTGTTCTTATCTAGACATTTTGTTCTGGGACTTATTTAATTTTGGTCTTATCTAGACATTTACTTTCAAAATATCTGTCTGGACCAACTTGTCACTTTTCTTTCTGAAAGTGGAATGTCTTTCTAAAGGGTACCTGGAGCCACAAACTGGTCGTGTGAGGCTTCCGGGAGAGACGCAGCTGAGGTCACTGGTGATGATAGTCCCACACTCCCCGATGAAGATGCCACCTATGGACCAGCAAGAAAATTGTTACAAACGGAAAATGAAGCACAAGTAGTATATATACAAGACAGACATCCTTAAACAGAAGGTTTATGGCAAAACTACATTTGCTAGTCGAACTAGAAAACGTTTCATATTTTGAGAGTCATCACAGTTTTTGAAAGGCCTTTTCTTTTCTTTTTTAACTCATCCTTACTGTGTTTTTGTTTTTTATCCTCACCCAAGGATATGTTTTATTGACTTTAGAGAGAGAGGGAGAGACGACAATGGGTGAGAAACACTGATCTGTTGCCTCCCACACACGCCCTGACCAGGTATGTGCTTTGACGGGACTGAACCTACCACCTTTTGGTGTTTGGTATGACACTCCAACCAACCCAGTGACACCAGCCAGGGCGTGAGTGGCATTTTCTACTTTTTCTTATAGGACCTGTTACAGTTTTTGTAAATTAGTAACTGACAGGAGTGAGGTTTTGATTTGAAGCCCATTAAGATTATTAAGGTCCCAATAAGACCTATTTTCTCTTATTACCTAAATGTTAAAAGGCTGAAATATACAACTTTACCTATAAATTCACTGTGTCCTTGAGATATTTGCATTTTTTGTTTTTTATGACCTTAATTTATCTTTCTATTTATTTATTTTTAGACTCCACATATAAGAGAAATCACATGGTATTTGTTTTTCTCTGTCTGAATTATTGCATTTAGCATAATACCCTTGAGGTCCTCCCTTGTTGTTGCAAATGGCAAGATTTCATTCTTTTTTATGGCTGAATAATATTTCATTGCATACTTAACACCATAATTCCTTTTTTAAAAATATATTTTATTGATTTTTTACAGGGATGAAGGGAGAGGGATAGAGAGCCAGAAACATCGATGAGAGAGAAACATCAACCAGCCACCTTCTGCACACCCCCTACCGGGTATGTGCCCGCAACCAAGGTACATGCCCTTGACCGGAATCGAACCTGGGACCCTTCAGTCTGCAGGCCGACGCTCTATCTGCTGAGCCAAACCAACCAGGGCACACCATAATTTCTTTATCCGTTCACCCACTGAAGGATAGTTAGGTTGTCACCATATACTGCTTATTGTAAAAAAAAAAAAAAAAATGCTGCAATGAACATGGAATGCATACTGGTATATCTCTTTGAGTGACTGTTTCCATTTTCTTTGGATTAATTTCTTGATTTCTTAACTCAAAAGAGCTTTGTAAAGTTTCAAATGGCACACACAAATTTTAATAGTGCCTATGAAAAAATTACCTTAAGTACTAAAATATTTTCTTATCTCTCCCCATATTGTAAAAAAAAACTCTTTAAAAACTTAGGCAATATGCCAAAACTATGTTTCAGAATACAACTTTTTTTAAAACATTAAATATAACAAATTCTGTAGTAGAAAAACAATTTCACTACAGTTTTATAAGATGAAAAGATTGTGTGGCCTTCCTCAATTTGAAGAAGCCCAAACTGATGAGTTTGGCACCTCCTATGTGAAAAATACCTTAGGTCCATGTCGGTGTACACAGAAGGCCTGAGCTGTCAAGTGAACTTAGGAATCAATCCTGCCTCACACACTCAAATACTATAACCCTCCCTACATACTGATAGCATATTTATCCTAACACTTCAAGTAGGGTATCTTAGACTTGATATATAAAATAGAATGAAAGCAAAAACCAAGGTTATATTCATTCACAATTTCTGATAATACAAAAAACATAAATTGGAAGAAAATGGTAGAAGAAATTAATATACAGTTTTTAAAGTTCCCTCATTCAACTTGAAGACCTTAATCGTCTCTCATCACTTGAAGTTTGACATTTCACAAAAACAAGAAATAAGTGATAGGAAGCTATAGCCAAGAATGTAAGCTACACACATAAAGGTATCTAAAAAATAAACCTAGAAAAATTTCAGTCTAAGTAAATAACTCATAAACAGGCATGTGTTGTTTTATTTTACATTCAGTGTAGTCACATTAACATTTTTTAGATTAGCACCGAAATAAAAAAGTTAAGAACACTGAGACTTTGTGGGACCCAGTAGATCCCAGAGGGATCAATAGTCATCTCTACTTAATCCTCTTAGTTTGGGTCTTAGCAGATACCTTGTGTATGTGCTTTTGTACACACGCAAACTCATTAGACTTGAGTCATTAAATGACCTACATGCAAAACCACAATCTAGACTTTCTCTCACTTTCACATCTGCCACATGACACATCCTGAGAGATTTCGCATTTACCTCCATATAATAAGACAAATGAAACTGTGTTTTACTTGAACTGAGTCTATATACTTGTAGTGTTATCACCACACTGGTATTACAGAGGCAATGAAAGCCTATCAGTGCAGAGAAACTGATGCTACTTAAACTACAGTGCTAAAAGACTCACATTTTGCTTATAAACACTAAAAAAAATAATCTTTCATCAATGTGCTTATAAGTAGAAGATTTCTAAATCATGTTTCATTGTAAAATAAAGTTACAACTGTAAGAGAATCTTTCTGAAATAGCAAGAAACACAAAGCCATTTACCATATCAAAGTAGAATTTGAGTTTAAAAACAATTTCTTTGTCTTATGAAGAAAATGTATCAAATGTTCAAAAACTGTTTCTTGATATTCTGCCTTACAGAAACAAAGGAGCTCACTGGATACTTTAAAAATCTTTCAAAGTTCATTTAGGAGTTTCATATTTTATTTGTCAAAATGAATTCATAATACCTTTCATCCTCTTTCATCAAAAGCAGCATTGGTGCCTGAATAGGTTTTTTTAAAATTTAAAAGATAACAAAGGTAGAAAATGAGGATTTGTGGTATGAAAAAAGATAGGGTACAAAATTGCTCACATTTTTAACACATGGCAAAAATGAGGTAATTGTCCTTGGCCTGCTCTCCAGTCTATGAAATAACTTTCAATTACCATCAAACAAAAGTCAAGCCACAATTCTCTAATGCCAATTTTAATGTTTCATGCCATTTTACTCTGCTGAAATATCTTTCTATCTGTATCTTTACAGCTATTACATATTATCTCTTCATAGCCAAAAACAGACTCAGCTCTCCTGGCTAACCCTTATCTAAAATCCCTTAGAAACTTCTCATACCTTCTATCTTCCCGTGTTTAAAAATTGTGAGTGGGTGCTTTAGGTCAGAGGATGGCAGCATAAGAGATTCCCTGGCCTCTCCCCCTGAAATTTCAACAAGTTAACCAAATATAATTCAACAAAGAATTCCCTGCTCAATATAGAGGCACACCTGAGAGACCTGCACATTGAAGGTGGGGAATAAATGTAGAGGTGGGAAGGGAGGAAAGCTCAGCTGGCCCACGGATGCAGCCCTGTAGCTGGGAGCTCTTGGCTCTGCCTAGAGAGGGGAGGACGCCAGGGGAGAAGGAGATCCTAATATAAGGTGACAGGAGAAGAGTTGACTTTGGGTGGTGGGCACACAGTGCAATATATACAGATCTTGTAACATAGAAACCCACCCCAGAAACCTATATGTTCATGTTGACCAATGTCATTCCAATAAATTTAATTTTTAAAAAGGGGGAAAATGTGAATAGACTTGTACCCTATCTTTTCTCATAGTACAATCCTCATGTTCTTCCGTTATTCTCTCTTGTTTTTTTTAAAGACTAAATTTGGTCATAAAGCTGTTATAGCACACTGGTATGTACTAGGTAAAAACACCTATCTAGTTTGGATACTTCTGAGAACTAGAAAAGTGACTCAGGAAGAAAAACAACTACTACCTGGGGATGGGGACACTGAACTGGACAGTAGCCATCTCTAAACCGGCTTATTTACAAGGGCAATACCCCCAAGGTGACAATGACACCCCTTACTCTATGTATAATTTACAAAATTCCAATCCTTCCAGGGCCAAGCAACTGAACTAATATCTGTTAGATTACACCATCAAGTCCCTATGGTATAATCTAAGGATCTGACCCAAATCAATCATAGAGCTTTCCTTAGAAAGACAAAATGGAAAAACAAAACACCAATCAATAAACTGCATCCTTTGTTAAAACTGTGAGATACACTAAACAGTTATATAAATAACCACATAAGCTTATTGGCAAGATTTCCATCATGCAGCTGATACTTCAATTTGTAATTTTAAAATTTTCTTATACCTGAGAAAGGTTTAGTTGGTCTAGGTCAGGGGTGGGCAAACTTTTTGACTCGAGGACCACAATGGGTTCTTAAACTGGACCGGAGGGCCGGAACAAAAGCATGGATGGAGTGTTTGTGTGAACTAATATAAATTCAAAGTAAACATCATTACATAAAAGGGTACGGTCTTTTTTTCAATAGTTTTATTCATTTCAAATGGGCCAGATCCGGACCATGGGCCGTAGTTTGCCCACATAGTTTGGTCTAGGTACTGAGAGCTTATGTTTAAAGTAATACTGGTATAATAAATAAATTCTCCAGATTTTTCTCCTGTTGGGACAAAGAGATAGAGTATGTCGGGCATGGTAAGATGAGCAGAATTAGGGTAATTAAACTACTTCGGTGAATAAAAATCCCTAATTTGGTAAAAAGCCACTGATGCCCAAACTCTTCTGTTTGGAAGTCAAAAAAGAAAGAAAAGAGTTGACTGTAAAAATTCTAATGGATAATACCAGTCTTTTGAGAAATGTCAATAAATAAATCTAACATAGGACTATATATAAAATTTCTTTTAAAAAACAGATTCTATTGCTACATATTTCTCAAAATGTATGTTGCATCCTAACACAAACAAGTTAAAGGCTTTCACATTAAAAGAGGTGCTTCTATTTAATTACAACAAATAATAAATTTCAAAGGTTTTTCTCAGAAAATCCAGTATACTAATCTGTAAGATTTATGTTATTATAAAATTGAGAAATACAAGAGTTTGATTTGCTTTCACTTTTTGTACTTAAGTCTTTTTGTATAGGATAAATACAACTTGATATTTACAAAATAACTAAGATAGCCCAACATTAAATAGAGCAATTACTTTTTACTGTACACCTACTATGAGCAAAGAACTGAAAAATGTACAGATTTTTTAGGTCAATAGCCCTTTAAACAAACAGGGTAACCTAAGAAGAATTACTTTTAAGCACATATTAATGCTGCCCATCTGTGAACTAAATGAACTCCTTTTTGCATTTAATCATATTATTTCTCTTATTGAGACAAAGATAGATACTATTTCTAGCTTGGAAAGGAAAGCATGACATCTAGTGGAACCAGGGAATTATTCTACTTTTCCAAATAAAGGTTCAATTTAGCACTGAAAACCAACTCTTCTGAGTCTAGAAAAAAATAAAAAACTATTAAAACTGTAGGAAAAAGTACCAGTCTCTTGAAAAACTGTGTGGTAAGTGACTCCTATTAATGCCTATATAATAGCTATTTTTCTCATACTGTTGTGCTCCTAGAAGCACAGGTGACAAGCTTTTTTGTCCTAGGGTCTACTAACACAGTAATTGTTCCAAAAACACTTTACAATAAAACATACTATTTTCCAGTGGAGAATAAGTGATTCTGTGTGCTTGTAAAACAAATGAAAACCAGTATCATTTATTATTTAGAAATATTTAGTGTGTCAAAGTTTTTAGAATATAGCAATGTATGAATGGGAAAAAAAGGGCAGGTATACATAAATTCTAGGTATCCTATATAATAAAAGGGCAATATGCAAATTGACCCTAACAGCTGGGAATGACCAGTCACTATGACACCCACTGACCACCAGGGGGCAGATGCTCAATGCAGGATCTGCCCCCTGGTGGTCAATGCACTCCCACAGGGTGAGCTCTGCTCAGCCACAAGCCGGACTGACTGCTGCAAGTGCAGCGGCAGTGACGGGAGCCTCTTCTGCCTCCTTGGCAGCGCTAAGGATGTCCAACTGCGGCTTAGGCCCCCTCCTCAGGGAGCGGGCCTAAGCTGGCAGGTGAACATCCCCCAAGGGGTCCCGGACTGCAAGAGGGCACAGGCTGGGCTGAGCGACTCCCTAAGAGCACAAATTTTCATGCACCGGGCCTTACCTTAGAATTCCTATCAGGCTTCTCTCTCCACTATGTAAATTCAAATTATTTCACAGAATCAAAAGGAAGCACTTATGAATTCTTTGAAAGTACCATTGTTTCCGAAGTGGAGAGAGAACTAGGATCTCGGTCTTGATGGGACATTCTCGATGGAGCCCTCCAAAACTTGAGTGAGTCATCCAAACCTGTGACAACAAGAAAACAGTCAACACAAATAGTCTCCTGGGTTCTATAACAATTAACAGAAAAACAGTCATCACATGAAACCAGTGAAGAACTAAGATGTGAGGTTGGCCTAATTTTTATTTGCCTAATTAATTTATATGTAAAGCTTGTTTTACAGAAAATTTAATGCAATTAGCTGACTGTGCTTTAGCTTAATCTAACACAATTTATCAAGAGCACCAGGTCTTGATAAATTGCAAATGTAATGTGCATAAGAATCACACAGAGCTTGTTATAGCAGTTCCTGGGTCCAATTCCAGAACATTTGTCCATTCCTCAAATTAGGGAGGGCCCCTACATTTGCATGGCTCCAGGGCCAACACCAGGTCTTGATAAATTGCAAATGTAATGTGCATAAGAATCACACAGAGCTTGTTATAGCAGTTCCTGGGTCCAATTCCAGAACATTTGTCCATTCCCCAAATCAGGGAGGGCCCCTACGTTTGCATGGCTCCAAGGCCAAGCTCTGAGTAACACAGATCCAAAGACATCCAAACAATTAAATGGGTCACTTTCCTACTAGAGATGGACATTTATTTAGAATGTCCAAAATGTCATCAAATATAATTTTCCTCTTAATTTTTCCAAGAAATGAGCAGAAAAATGAATTATAAATTTACTTTTAAATATTCCATGATAAAGAAACTTCATGTCTCCAATTTACTCTTAAATGTCTCAGAAAAAAAAATACATACATACGTACGCATATGAGTAAATTTTATTCATACACATGGCATGAGGGCAAATACAATAAAATGTTAACATTTGGGAATTCTTGTACCTTTTCTGTAAGTGTGAAATTATGTCAAGATTTTTTAAAAATTACTTTAAAATTAATTTTAAAATTTATTTTCATTTTTAAATCATTAGAAATTAATATAAGACATAATTATTATCTATGTGCTAAGGTCTTATGCTCCAAGAGAATCTACAAACAGAAATGAAAAAGTTTCAGCAAGATATTTTGATAAATGAGTAACATGCCAAATATAAATAACTTTTGCTATATTAGCAAAACAAATTAGAGAACTTAGTAGGTCTTACTCTTGATTGCCTAGGAAGAACTTTTCCAAAGTTCAAGACAATAGTAGAGGAAAGTATAAAACTTTGCTGAAGGGTATGAAAACTTGTGAAACATTTATATGATTTCAGAAATGGTTTCTATGAAGTATTTATAATGTAGAAAAATGCTTAGGCAATGTTTAGTGAAAGAAGGGGATATAAAAATGTACATAATATGAATACAATTATATAAAACAAACTAAAGCTATAGAGAGGAAGATGCCTGGAGGAAAATACACCCTAACACAACAAAGGAAATATCTGGATAGTGGGACCAGAGGAAAAAACCAATTTTTCCTGTGTACTTGGCATTATTTTTCAAACATCTTATAATACACTGGTCTTTAACAGTTTAAAAGGTGTTACATTTTATAAAAATCCTATATAATAAAGAGGTAATATGCAAATTGACCATCATGCCCTCGCACAAGGTGGCTGCTCCCATGTGGTCAAAGATGGCCGCCACAAGATGGCCTGCAGGGGAGGGCAGTTGTGGGTGACAAGGCCTGCAGGGGAGGGCAGTTGGGGGGGCCAGGCCTGCAGGGAAGGACAGTTGGGGGGGACCAGGCCAGCAGTCCCAGAATGCAAGAGGGATGACCAACTGCCAGCGGTCCCAGATTGCAAAAGGGCTGTCAGACATCCCCCGAGGGGTCCCAGATTGTAGAGGGTGCAGGCTGGGCTGAGGGACACCCCACCCCCAGCCAGGCATGAAGTTTGTGCACCGGGCCACTAGTTTAAATATAATGTACCTACCGTTTAAATCACTGCTTTCTGAAGTTCCATTAGGAGCAGAACAACTCGAATAAAAGGTATACAGTCCCAGGTAACAATGTTTCACCATCTGATGCAAATGTTCATAGAAATGGCAGTGATACAAGAGAGCCTGCAGCGCGGGCTTTCCTACCAGCGACAGACCAGAGTCCTCATCATGGACACAGGGTCCCTGGAGGAAAAGAGGGAGAGAAAGAGAGACAGTGAACTATCACATGATTTCTTCAAAAAGACCCACTGTCTCCGCACACTCCCCAGGTGCGACCTGGCCTCTCCCCGGCCTGTCCTGTGCAGCAGACCTAGGGCATTACTTCCCAGCACTCTAGGTCTTTGCGGCCTAATGATCCACTGAAGGCAGAGGCTCCACTCCATCTCTTGAGGGGCCATTTTATTTAAAATTCTTCTATAAAATGGTGCAGCTTTAATCAAGTAATTATGTACTTGAGCCATAAACTCAAAAAAGCTACTTTACAACCTATACAAAACAGTAAGTATTAAAATATCAGAAATAATGTGGTCCAAGTAATTACATTCACAATTAGTCTTCATACCTATGAATAAGCTAGATAAAATACATGGCCCCTCAATATTCACAGTGAAAGCTGTCTGCCACTTTCCTTTCCGCTGAACTAACCCTGCCAAGGGGAACAGCCACAGGCACCGACACACACTTCCCACCAGGAAATTATAACTAAAGAAAAAGGATGATTAACAGCTTAGAAAAACTTGAGATACGATATAAACTCACAGCGCAAGAAATAAATAAATAAAAATGTTAAGGTTTGGAAAAAGTCACCCAAATAAATATTTTTATAATCACACACACAGGCCAGAGTGGTCATGGTCCTGGAAGCAGAGATTAGAAAGTGTAACCACAGCCCAATTAAGTGGATCTGTAGCGAATTACTGGTTTTCACTTTTTAGAATCAACCTACATAGATAAAAGGAGGCTGCAGAAGAGAATGTAAATGCAACCAGCCTTCACAAAGTAAAAGTAAAGATAAAACTGGCAAAGATGAGCAGAAGCGGGGAGAAGCTACTAATAAAAGGATAGGAACATCTTAGCCACATCCTCTTGCCTTCTAAATGGAGCCAAGAACGGGATCCATAGATAACAGGACCAGAAACAGCAGGCGACCAGTGGAGAAAGTAAGAAGTTAATAGAACTATATTGGAGGAGATTGTTTAAATGAGCTAAATTCTATGTGTCGACACAGCACAGGAACAAACATTATTGCAAACATGCTGAAGAATTAAAATCAGTAGGAGACAAAGCTGTCTCTGTGAATTGAGAGATATAGTCAATTTCATTGTAAATTCATTCAAAATATTTTTTAACTTCTCAAAGAAAACCAAATGATCTGAAATATATACATATTACACAACCATTATTCATTTTTCATTTGATTTAGTTTAACTAAACATTAAGCCTGAATCTCCACAGGCCCAAGCTTCCTAGTGGCAATAGCATATTAACAACAGAGCTTTACTCAGGCAGTGAAGCCAAGCCCAGCACACGCACAAAGATGGCCTGACTCAGGCTTTCCAGATGGCTAATGCTACAAGGACCAGAACAATGGAGCCTTTCATGCACAGGCCAGGCTTCGCTCCACAGGTCCACCAGTAATTGATGGGGCTGTCATCCCGCGCACTGGGGAGATCAGCTCAGTCCAATTGCTCTGACTCAGGATGTCTATATTCTTATCAGCCCTGCCCTCAGGTGAGTGCTGGGCTGCCAGATCATCTGCAGAATTGCCAGGGAAGCGGAGGACAGTACGTAAAGCAAGAAAACCCTTCAAATCACTAGGTGCCATTACGAATGAATTTGTGAAGAAAAAAATTAATTATGTCATAGAATATTTAATTTGAAAATATTATTTTCAAGGATGTAATAAGCTATAATATTAATATTCAAAAATATTTTACTCCTAGCATCAGAGTTCTAATATATCCATTAGCTATGATTAAGAAGGAAATGGGAACAAAATAAACATTACATTTGTGAACAGAGAATTAATATTTTCCAGGAGAAAAAAAAATATTTTGATATATAAGAAAAATTTTAGAGCTATAATGCAATCAAGAAATTGGAAAAATGATCCTAATTACATAAGAAAACCTTAACTACATATAAATTATGAATACAGTTAAGATGATATTGCTTCTCTAGGTACTTATTGTTTTGTTAAATCAATACTCATAATGACTTGTGATGAATACATTAAAGAATAAAAAATGTGCACTGATAATTATCACATTGAATATGAAAATAATCTATGCTATGACTATAAATGACCACTATCTAAAACACACACAAACACGTATGCAGACAGTTTACAGCTGTGCCCACTAAGAATGCACGGAACTAATGACATCCACCTCCTCTCGCCCCAACAATGAGCATATCTAGAACCCACATCTCTATCAACAGAAATCAAGGCTTTCTGAGCAGATGTCTAATTCCACACTGGGGCTGGGAAAGTCTAGAACATCTTGCTGTACCAGAAAGTGAGGAAGACTACTGAAGACATGTGAAAAGGACACAAGACTCTTCGTGAAGGGGCTCCTTTTGGACAAATCTGGAACAATTTAAACATCTAAATAAATAATGACAGAAACAGATTATAACCCATGAAACAAACTAAGTTTCCTGAAGTTCAGACTGGTGTAAATAAAATAAAAAAGTGAATAAAAAAATAAATGGGGAACAAAGGAAAGCTCTTCCTTAGAGTAAAATGTAATAAATGTAGAAGAAATGATGGAATTAGAAAATCACCATTTGGCAATCATTCTGTAACAACTGCTTTAGACAAGAATCTCGAGTGGAAAAAAGTTAAAACTAATGAAAGAAAACTGATGAGAAATAAATATTTATACAGTCTCAAAGTATCTCCCATAATTCCACAATGAATAATACAGGGGACTTTAATTCAACCAAGTGAGTAAAGTTAGCATGCCCAGTAATGGGTCAGAGAAAGCAGGTCTCCTGATACACTGCACTGAGAACACGTACTTCCACGGCTTCTCTTTAAAACTACGGAACCTGAATCTAATCATGAGAGAATAGGCACACCTATTTAAAGAGTATTACAGCAACTAAGTAGGCTGCACTCCTCAAAAATGCTTAGGTCACAAATGCTAAACATTCAGCAACTATTTTAGATAAAGAAGCCAAGGAGACATGACGACTTGTGTAACACGTGCATAGTAAACACCATGTGAGCTCTTATTTCTGTTTAAAATTACTTTACCACTGCAGCCCTAGTGGGTGGTTCAGCTGGTTGAAGTGTCCCCAAAAGGCTGCAGGTTCAATTCCCTGTCAGAGCACATACACGAGGCAACTGATCAATTGATTTCTCTTCTCTCTCTCTCTCTCTCTCTCTCTCTATCTCTCTCTCTCTCTCTCTCTCTCTCTCTCTCCCTCCCTCCCTCCCTCCCTCCCTCTTAACACCCCCCCCATCAAGTCAGTAAAAACATATCCTCAGGTGAGGATGAAAAAATAATAATAATAAAATTACCACTACAGAGCAGAATTTATAAATCTGACCAAGCATTAGGAAAATTTCCACATTTGCTTTTAAGAGATCCTGTTGCCTTGTATGAAAATTCATCAGTAATGAAATATATATATGCTGAAACTTCATCATCAATTAATCTCAACTATCTACTACGTAGACCATTGTTTAAAGTCACCCACCTGCCAAGTATAATCCTTTACAATTACTGATGGCATTGGAATTACAAGGAGATTCTGAAGAATAAAGGCAGCCTGAAATTAAAAAAGAAGAAGTCAATACTGCCATCTTGTTGCCACCTCTGAAATAACCAACATATCGAAATTTAGTAACAAAAATATGTATCATGAGTCAACTGCACATGTCAACAGGTCATACACACAAACATTATGAGAAACATCAAACTGCATTTCCTGTTAGATGATGACCTAACAGTGGATGAAATGATTTCATTGGGAAACATATTTTCCTCTATCTCAGAATTTTATTTTTTCAAAAAAGTAATCTGTAAAATATAAACTGTTGCGGTAGCATTTAGGAAATATATTTTCATGTTTCTATTATCCCCTACAGACTAAATGCACCTATGTGCACACACACACACACACACACACACACACACACACCTCCCCCTGTCTTTTCCCCTCTCTCATAGGAGATCCTCTCAATAAAATTTGCTAACTTAACAAGAGTAACAGAGGGAATCCAAAGAATGAAATTTTCAACCATCTTAACTGGAAGGCAAGAGATAATCTTTAAAGTTGGTCAATCAAGAGGACACTACCGTTTTTAACATTCCGTTAAAGAGCAAGCACAGCCTTTGGATCTGTAACTAGGAACAGGCCAAGTAAGGGTGAACCCAGGAGCTGCTGTTTTCTTTATCTGCCCTAAGCAGGATTTGATTACTGTTTTTAAACTATTTGCATCAATCATCATTTTAATAATAGGAGAAAGGAAAAAATCCACAAACTATTTGGAAGAATTAAAATGAAGTTTACTTTTCCTCTTACATGTTATGATAAATACTACCTAGTATTTAGATGGCTCCTTAACTAAAGCTTACAAACATTAGAGACCCATAAACACTTAGGTGACATAAAAGTATTTTTTCCTGTAAATCTTTCCAATGTATAATAAAATAAAAGTTTATTAAAACATACCAAATTCTGCCTTGACCTTATCAGATTAAAGGACTCCAATATTTACTGTGAATTAATACCTTTTTCATTCTCTACTACCATTTTATTTGGATTTTTGCAGGCATAAGAGATGATGGTCAGGGGTCAGTCCACCGTGTTCAGTAGGGAGTTGGTATGATCACAGGACCATCACATGCATTTCTGAGGGAAAGGGGACGAGGTGCTAGACAGACAGGCCTACCTCCCGGCGCACCATGCTGCACTCTGACTGGTCCAGAAGAATGTTCACCACAGTTCCCCAGAGCCCACCAGAAATGTTCTGACAGCTGTTGGCCAAGGCCACACAGCCAGTTTCTAGGGTGGTCAGTGCGGATCCTAATCCCAGAGAAGTGAACCTCACCTGTTCAAGATAAGGAAGGGGGGAGGCAGGAGGAGATTAACCAATGAGTTATATGTATATGTGCACAACCCATGGACAGACCATAGTGTGGTGAAGGCCTGGGGAGGGGGTGGGGGCCAGGTAGAGGGGTTCAATGAGGGAGACAGGAAAAAGGAGGACATCTATAATACTTTCAACAATAAAGATAAAAAAATAAAAATTAAAAGAAGAAAAGATTGTCAAATCAAAGAATCTGATTCCCTAATATAAATTCTTAATTTTTCTGGTACATAAGATATCATACTTTTATGACATTGTCTTGACAATCCTAAATTATAAAAGACACTGGTAGAAAACAGTGCCCTATATAAGCTTATGAATGAATAAAATCCTATTCCACAATTCAAGAAAGCAATAATATGGGGGGGGGGGGGGTTACATAAAAGCAAATGTCACAAAAAAATCAAAACCAGGTATAAATTAGAAAAAAAAATATAACTCACAAGACTTTTTTCTAGGGAAAGCATAGAGCACTTACATATCTTTAATGAACCAATTCCTGTCTCTTCCTCATCTACCAATTATTTTGTTCTACCTTCCTTAGTGTCTCTTTCAAATAAATGGTTTTAACTTTTTTGAACCTTCTTTTCAAAAAGAAGTAATGAAATTATTTTTATAAGACATTTAGTATTCTACCCAAACTAATTTTTTTAAATGTTTCAAATAAGATTGATGTGGTGTACTAGGTTTCCCCTAGTACCACAGCTGCTCAAGTTATGCATTTTGGTGAATTTCTGACTTCTGATCCCCAAAATAGGATTGCACTGATAACTATAAAGCAACAACAACAAAAAACGTAGTCATGATATAGTCCAGCAACAAATTCATGGGAGAAACTTGCAGGAAGTCCAAGTTCAATGTGTCTAAAAAAATGTAACCTCTAGGTTCAGATCAAATAGCTCTGTAAATCAAAGTTTTTAGTATAATAGGATATAATCATTTCTTACTTGAAATTAATGGACAGTGTGCATAGTTAACAGTACTGTATTACAGCCTTAAACATTTGCTAATCACAAAATTCAACAAAGAGAAGGCAGGAGGAAACTGTTAGAGGTGAAGGATATGTTTATGGCATTGATGTGATAGTTTCTCCAAACACATGAAGTTGTGGATGTTAAATAGGTACAGTTTTCTGTATGATAACCATATAGAAAATTTGTTACTAATATAAAACTTTGCATTATGGGACTATTCTATTAAATGACACTCAAATGTCACTTGGCAGCTATCCTTCTAAATTGGTTGAAAATAGCTGGGTTTTTCTAGTACTTTTCACTGTTCTATCTTTTTTTCTGTCTTTAATCTGTGTCCTAATGAATCTGATGAAGAGGGGGTGTTATGTACTGAAACATATCCCCCCAAAATTTATATGTTGAAGCCTTAACTCCTGATGTGACTGTATTTGAGGACAGGCCTTTCAGCAGGTTATGAAAGTTCAATGAGGTCTTAAGGGTGGGTCCTGATCTGATGAGGTGGTGGCCACCTGAAGGCAAGACACAGAGCCCTCACCTAATACTCCCAGCCTCTATAACTGTGAGAAAATAAAGTTTTGTTCTTCAAGTCCTTCCCTCCCCCAACTCTATGGTATTTTGTTATAACAGCCCAAGCGAAGGTGGGATTAAATGAAGTTTAAGGTATAGTCCAGTGATAGCGAACCTTTTGAGCTCGGCGTGTCAACATTTTGAAAAACCCTAACTTAACTCTGGTGCCATGTCACATATAGAAATTTTTTGATATTTGCAACCGTAGTAAAACAAAGATTTATATTTATGATATTTATTTTATATATTTAAATGCCATTTAAATCTTTATTGTTCAGATTATTACATTTGTTTGTCCTCTGTTTTTTATCTACCCATAACGAACTCAACTTTTCTTCACACTGACCTCTGGGTCGCGATCCACCCACAACGGAATCAGCCAAGCCAATCCTTGCTGTATAGGAGTGTGCTCCTCACCATGACCACCCAAAGGCAAGAACCAAAGTGGCATCCACTCCTAAAATGTAAAAAATGAAAAAGAAATAGAAACACATTAGGGAAGTTTCTAAAAATAAAATATAGTGAGTTTAAATAACTCTTCATTTTAAAAAATCAAAACTAAGTAAAAATACACTTAAGACTTCGTTTTAATTCATTAATTTAGCCAAAACAAGGCAAACAAAAATATTAGCTTCACCTTAAAAAGCTAAATATACCATTTTTTCCTTCAGAACAGCTATTTTCCCCGTGATTTAGAAACAATGTAGCTTACAATGCAGATTTCAATCAAAAGAGATTTCAAATAAAAAAATTCAGATTTTTGTAATATGCAACTACTAAGAAACATCTTAGTCAAAAGTCATTTTTGTCTCCAAGAAGAAAAGTCAAAAGAAATATTTTCATATAGTAAACATATAGGCTCAAAATGTATTAGACATCGCACATTCCTTTTCTAACAACTGCTCAGATGGGCAGCTCGCAATGCTCTCACCGAGCTCTGGGCCTCGGCCATCATCTCATGAGATAAGTGAAGCAAGCAAAGAATCGTGCTCTTTGTCACCCCCTTTCCCATGAAGGACATAGCATTTCCTCCACGTTCCACATAAAAGGAAGTGATGACCTGAAAAACAAATGTAAGCAAGTTCATAGCAGCGTTACTCTGAACGGTAAATAAGGCCAAATATATCACTTGCTACTGACATATCTGAATTGAATCCTAACCACGTAAAGTGTACACAACATTCTATATTTACAGATTTGAAAATGGTTAAGATGGTAAATTGTACCACAATTAAAACAAATATTCCTACATATTTGTTAATAAAAATCTTTAAAACTTACTTGTGTCTGGCACACAGAGGTGATGAATAAACAGTAAACAACTATTACTTGAGAGTTGTTATTGCTGTTACAGTCATTGGTTATTTTTACTTACTTCCAGGAGACCTGCTAAGTACTTCCCACAAATTTCGAGCGGCTTTGCAAGAGGAGAATGTGAGCTCCACCCGGGCAGTGCTGTGAGATGAGCCATCCCTCGTAAGGTCCTCTCGAGGGAAGGCAGACCATAGAAGTGAGGAGCATCCGTGACTCTCAGGCACTGGAGCAGTTTCAGAGCCAGCTGTGTTTGGAAAACGTAAAAAAGTTCCAAGCATTTCCTGGGAACATAAAGGAAGAAAAAAGTCGGCCACAGGACTAGTGTGATGGGCTTAACAGGTAATTGTCTTATTGGTGGCAGAAGATTCCTAACAAATACTATATCAGAAAAGTATGAATTAAGACAAAAGGCAGAAAATATTTCCTCTCAAAAGAAGAGTTAAAAAAGGTATAGTTAAAAATATCATCTCGGGTATAAAATGTAAAATACCAGCAATAATTGAAAAATACATAAATGGATAATGGTATTGTCACACCAAAAAAAATGAAAACTTGGAATGAAAATTCAATGCATATTTTAAGTGAGTTTAATTGACATATTCTAAACCTACACTTTTAATCATTCACTATCATTAAAAAATCGAATTTTTAATTGACTAAAATGTATTTTTTTCACAGAAAACTAAAGTTTTTAAAAAAGGAGCCCTAGCCAGTTTTGTTCAGTTGATAGAGCACTGGCCTGTGGACTCAAGGGTCCTGGGTTGGACTCCGGTCAGGGGCACATGCCCGGGTTGTGGTCTCAATCCCCAGTAGGGGGCATACAGGGGGCAGCCAATCAATGATTCTCTCACATCATTGATGTTTCTATCTCTCTCTCCCTCTCCCTTCCTCTATGAAATCAATAAAAACATATTTTAAAAAATAAAATATAAGAAAGGTTTGCCCTTGCTGGTTTTGCTCAGTGGATAGAACGTCCACCTATAGACCAAAGGGTCCTGGGTTTGTTATCAGTCAAGGGCACGTACCTTGGTTGCAGGCTCCTCCCTGGCCTGGGCCCTGGTCAGGGCTTGTGCAGCAGGCAACCAATTGATGTGTTTCTCTCATCAATATTTCTCTCTGTCTTTCCCTCTCTCTGTCTTTCACTCTCTCTAAATATCAATGGAAAAATATCCTCAGGTGAGGATAAAAAGAAATAATGTTTTAGCCCTGGCCAGTTTGACTCATTGGTTAGAGCGTTAGCCCATGGACTGAGGGTCTCGGGTTTCATTTCTAGTCAAGGGCACATACTGGGTTGCAGGCTCCATCACTGGACTCAGTCGGGACATGTGCAGGAGACAACCAATCAATTTGAGAGATGTCTGTCTGTCTCACATACTCTCTCTCTCCCTCTCTTTCTCCCCTCCACCCTTCCTTTCAACTCTCTGAAAATCAATGGAAAAGTATCCTCAGGTAAGGATTTTTTAAAAAATACTAAAAAGATATGAAACATTCTCAATACCTCAGAAGGCCCCAGATGTCCCTCTCTAGTAAAATTTGTATTGACTTGTGTTTTAATTCATTAAGCTTCTCTTTTACTATGTCTAGTCTACTGTTAAACCCATTCAGTGAAGTCATTATTTTAGAAATTGTAATTCTTGGTTGTAGAATTTGTATTTGGTTTTTTTAGTCTCCATCTCTCCATATTTTTATTAATCTTGCCCAGATGTTCCTCTAATAATTATTATGCTTATTTAAAATAATATTATTTATAATGGTAGCTTTAAAGTTCTCATTTTTGACATCTATAGATGTGTTTCTAATGACTTTTTTTCATAATTATGGGAGACATTTTTCTGTGCCATCACAATTCACTTCATTTGTGATTATATGTCAAACATTTGTATAAAAGAGCTAGTAAAAGTGAAGTACATAATAATTTCTCATAGTAATGGCCTGCCCTTTGATCACAAGACTTACTACCATTAAGTCTATAATAATAATAAAATGAGTTAGGGGCTGATCTTTTGGATCTAACCAGGTGTTAAGCTGAATCAGGGCTGCTTTAACACCTTAGTTGGTATAAAATGTCATGTGTGTGGGATCAGGCCTTTCCCTCCAGCAGAGCCTTGGGAGTTAAGCACAGGAAGCCTCATCAAAGCAAAATCTTCTGTATGCATCAAAGGACATTATCAAGAGAGTGAAAAGATGACCCACAGAATTGGAGAAAAATTTGCAACATATATTTGATAAGGGATTAATGACCAGAATATATAAAGACAACTCAACAACAACAAAACAATTCAAAAAACAGGAAAAGGACTTGAATAGATGCTTCTCCAAAGATAAAACAGTAACAAGTGTTGGTAAGGATGTAGAGAAATGACAACACTCATGCACTGCTGGAGGGAATGCAAAGTGGATTAACTGCTGTGGTAAATAGCTTGGCTCTTCCCCAAAAAGTTAAACATAGATTTATCACAAATAGCAGTCCTAGATATACTCTTGAGAATCAAAACATGTTTGCACACAAACCTGTATATGAATTTCATAGCAGCACTATCTAAAATCCTCAAGGTGGAAACAACTCATTTGTTTACCAACAGATAAATGGATAACCACAATGGTATATCTATACATGGACTATTAGTCAGTCATAGGGAGAAATAAACACTGACATGTGCTATTAAATGGATGGTCCTTGAAAACACAATGTTAAGTGGAAGAAGTCAGACACAAAAGGCCACATGCTGTTTGATTCCATTTGTATAAAATGTCCAGAGCAGTCAAATCCATATACAAAAGAACATTAATCATTGCCATGGTCTTGGGTAAGGCATGATTGGGAAGGGGCTGCTTAATGTGTACAGGGCTTCTTTGGGGCGGGGGGGGGGGGAATAAAATGTTCTGGAATTAACTATAGTGATAGTTCACAACATTGTGAATATACCAAAAGCCATTAACTGTATACATTTAAATGATCAAAATAAATAGTAAAATTTACCTAATTTTAAAAATAAAAAAAGGAAGTCAGAACCAGAGACAGACATTTGAAAATCGTTAATGCAAAAATATTCATAAAATCATACAAATGGATATGACCACTCAGGTTGATGTGTCAAGAATTAAAAGAGGACCAAGAACTAAAACCTAGAGAACAAAACACTCTCCATGTGAAGCTGCAATCAGGCTGCAACAGAGATTCAGCTGAAATGAAAACAGACCACCACAATGATTACTGAAGTCTTTCCTTCTCTTAACTTGAAGCAAATGAAAAACCAACTCTTTGGAAATCAAAAGAGAAATTCAGTTCTCTATCCACGTCCTCTAACCTTCATTGACACAAAAGTACCTGTCAGTAACTGCCCCGAAACTCAGCAGCAGGGTGTTGTAAAGAGCCATCAGTTCCTTCTGGAGCTGTTGCCTGACAGCCGTCCGGAAGTCATCTGTCTCTTCTCGGGCCTGTGACTCTGTCAGAACCAGCAGGTCTAACAAAGGGTTTGGGCTCTGAAAAATGAAATTGGTAAAGAATATAGTTACTCTCTAGCTGAGCTGTGTGTTGTTTCCTATGGAGGTTTTGTTGCTCATCATGTTCTGGGTTAATTAAGAATTGTGTTACCTAACCAGCAGGTGTGGGTCTCTAGACCTCCTGTAGATGGTCTACACTCAAAGGATGCTTCATATGTCATCTCAACAAAAGGAATGCATATCTATTCCAGAAAACTGAGGAAAATACAGAGAAGCATAATGAGAGAAACAAACACCACCCACAATCATATCTCACTGGGAAAGCAGCTTTTAGCATCCTGGTACACACTCCTCTTTTTGCGTGTGTGAGTATAAATAAAATTATAAATCTGTATTTTTATTTTTATTTTTGTAGGCTGGGAGATAAGTGAATAGAGTCAGATTTTTCTACCCATTCATTTACCCCAGCCTGTATAAATCTGTATTTTTAACAAAACTGAGGTCAAGTGAAAAAATTCACTATTTAACCGTTTCCTTACTTCGTTACTATTATTTCTTCAAAAACATTTTAATATCTGGCATTTTTCAACCACAATGATTTACTACACTGATCACTGAACAGTTAGTGACTGATAATTTCACTGGGTGGTATCGTGGGCTCAATTCTAATCATGTCCTATTTACAAACTCTAAACAATGAAATAACTGAATCAGAAGATTATAATAGCTTAATGCTTTTGATGAACATTGCCAAACTGTCCCTACAGTAAGTGTACTGATACACACAGCCCCCATGGTGTGAGAAGGCACAGCATCCAGCCAGTGCTGATATCACTACTGTTGTAATCTTTGCCAACTTCCTAGGCTAATACACAAATAAAACTAATGCTATTTAAACATTTTCCTGTTTTCCATTTTTAAAAAAGTAACTAAAGAAATATAATAGGACTTCTAATGATATTAAGAGAATGGAAAATATTACATTGACCCCCAGCATTAACTGATATACAGAGTATTTATCAAACATCTATAATGTCACAGGCAGTGTATTAAAAAGAAATAAAACAAGATTCATTTAACTTTTTGATTAAAGTAGAAAACTTGCATTTTCTTCTTTTACACATGGGCAAACAGAGGTTTATAAAGAGGTCAAGTAATTTGTCCAAAGTGATAAGAATTAGCAGAACAAGAATTTAATCTCAGAACCTTTTTACTGCAAAGGTAGTTAATATTTTGTTCCCAGCATTATGTCAATCAACAGTGCATTTACAACACACAAAGAGAGATAAAGTCAAAATGTAATTACTACTGTTCTAAAATCCTTCACTTAAAGAACTCAATTAAAAAATAACCACATTCTCTTCAGGAATAAGAAATGAAGAAAATTCTAAGTTGTTTACATATGTAGCGTGTAGACCAGTGATGGCAAAACTTTTGAGCTCGGCATGCCAGCATTTTGAAAAACCCTAACTTAACTCTGGTGCCGTGTCACATATAGAAATTTTTTGATATTTGCAACCGTAGTAAAACAAAGATTTATATTTATGATATTTATTTTATATATTTAAATGCCATTTAACAAAGAAAAATCAACCAAAAAAATGAGTTCACGTGTCACCTCCAACACGCGTGTCTTAGGTTCACCATCACTGGTGTAGAGTATACTTCAATCAGGTACACACAATTGCAAATAATATAACTGAGAGCCTTTGGAAAGAACTGGGGAGAGATGTTTTGCTTTTAATTTACTGTTTCACACCTAAGCAGCTTTTTCTTCCACTTGTTCCTTTCATCTTGAGCAAGAACTGCCTCATTTGGATCCAGTAAAAGTACATGAAACATAACTATAACTTCATGTTTCATCTATAATAATAAAAGCATAATATGCAAATTGACTGAATGACCAAACAGCAGAATGACCATCCATATGACCTTCCAGACCACCATGCTATGACACGCACTTGTGCCAGGCCAGCAAACGTGGGTGCAATGCAATTGGTTGGGCGGGGGGGCCTCCATCGCCCTATGAGCGCCCTGCAGAGGGAAGCCCAGGCCACCGGCTGGCAGAGTGATTGATCAATAGGGAAGCTCCATGATCACCCCAAAGAGGGAGCCCCAGGACACTGACTGGTGGGCTGCAGCGGGTGGGCGGGGCCTCCCTCTGCGAGAAGGGGGTGGTGGTGATCCCTTGTGGAGCCCTGGTCGGGTGAGCAGGGCTTACCTCTTTGGGGAGATTAATCGCAGGGCTCCCGTGAGAGGAGGAGGCCGGGCTGAGGGACCCCCCCAATGGGACCCACCCCTCCCCCCGCCCCGCCAGAGTGCACAAATTTCTTGCACCGGGTCGCTAGTATATGAATAAAACAATCAAGATTTGCATTCGATAAAATCATAAAAATAAATATATATTCTATAGTATTCTTAGCCCCACATAACCAAAGGCAGACTTAGACCCACAGTGCCTCCAACTCCCATACACACTGACAAAATGAATGAGTTATTTTAATGCAAAATCCATCTTGGTAAAATATAACCTTATATGACTATACTGATACAGTATGTATAACCTAAAATTAAGATTCCTCCAAAGAATCTCATTCTACTTATAACTTGTTTTTACTAGTAAATTGCTGATACTTTCCCCTTTATAACCTATCTTGGATTCACATGTTAACTTTGAGATTCAGTGAACCTCAGCAGCATCACTTGTAAAATATAGGGTGAATTACTACTCCTCAAGCACAAAAGAGAGCAGAATAGATGTTTCTACCTAGTAACCTCAAGTGCTTAATCCTACCTGAAGGTTTTGTCATTAGACATTAGTAGTCAATCCTAATTTTAAACCAACTACTTGGGTCATTGTTGTGTCACTGCTAACCTCCAAAAGGTAACAATTTCTGTAATGATGGTTCATTTTCTTTAAGCACACCGTTTCCATCCATCATATCCAATTTTCCACCCATCAGCAAACTACAACAGTAGAATGTGCAATGCCCCCCATGAACTCTGAATGCACATGTGCCTGTGAAAGTGGCCAAAAGAGAGACATACACAGTGTAGTTCTGAATAGCCACCCCCACTTTTACAAACTTCCACCAAAAACTCGTTCTGTCAAGAAAGATGTTCAAACTCACCACTTCTAGGCTCTTTTATATATTAACAAAATATCATTATATGAAAATATAGGTTAGTGGAGCAACAAATTCCTAAAGTGCCTTAGAATTAAAATGTTTGTAATAGCGCTAACCAGTTTGGCTCAGTAGATAGAGCATTGGCCCGTGGACTTGAAGGGTACCTACTAGGTTCAATTTCAGTCAAAGGTACATACCTCGGTTGCATGCTCGATCCCCAGCCCTGGTCACAGCATGTGCAGGAGGCAACCAATCGACGTGTCTCTCTCACATCAATGTTTCACTCTCTCTGTCTTTCCCTCTCCCTTCCACTATAAAATATATGTGTCTTATAATATCTACTATCCTCTTTATCAGTTTAGGCCCCCTTTTCTAATTTTTATGTGGGGGTTTATTTGTGTGATTACTTGCAAAAAGGTTTATTTTTGCAGGGTTAAGTAAATTCATATGGTGTTGGGAAAAAACCACACATAAACCAACAGTACATAGTGAGCTAGCTTCTTGGCAAGTTTTCCTTAGGATAAACTTACATTAAAGCCTGAGCACCTTTGCACTCACTCTTCCCACCTTCTGTCCTTCACATACCCTCACTGCCTCCATCTGGCTTGGCTCCCTGTCTCTCACATCCCTATCTGCACTCCCCCAACCCCAAGATCCCCACTTGAAAATACAGCTGCAGCAGAAAACTCCAAGAGAATAGGTTTTATAAACAGCAAGATTTAAAAGTCCCATTCATCTAATGTAGACTTCTAATTTAATACAACTGGTCACAACCACATCAAGAAGGCCATGTTTCTATGAGCCCTCTAATACAACATGAGTAGCAATTCACTTAGCAAGGCTTTATAAATATTTTACTTTTCCATAATATAGTATTAATGATTTTCAAATAAATCACTTGTCGCACCTAAAACCCAAATTCCTTAACACCACTTACAGGTCTAAGAAGTAATTCTAGAAGCCAGTTTAGAAGTTCCACTGATGAATTTTTTCTTTGCTCCTTCAATAACTTATTTAAAAAATGTATGATATCTATTAGCAGTTTCTCATCTTCAATGCAAGCAGGAAGCACTTGTAAAAACCTATAACAAAGAAGACAATAATTATGGTTTCTAGCTCTTAAAGTGGTGTTGATAAATGTTTAGCAATCCAGCTGAGAAGTGGCATACTGATTTGTTGTGTTTGCCCATTTCCATAGTGTAAATACCCCCATGGCCAACTGCAAGCCACAGTGTGACAAAGAGCTGTGGAGACATGCACAGCAGCCTTTCTCTATCATAGATGTAATAGGTACAAATAAACTCGAGCAGAGATAATAGTGAAGTGTTGTAAAATAACACTTGGGAAGTAATAACTTTTATATAATCATTACCTTTATTTTCATTAACATATTTAATTCTAAGTTTACATAATTTATTTTAAAGAGGGGCTCTCTTTAAACCAACTAACTTGCAAGACTCCAGACAATGTAAGCATCGGCTCTCACAAGGCAGTACTGGCTGGCTCCAGCATACCACCGGAAAAGCAAAATAAATCCTGACAGCTGACCTAAATAAAGGAGTAGCAAACTTCATGTTTAATGAGAAAGTTACCCATGTTCTACTAGAGCAGTGGTTCTCAACCTTGGCTGCACACTAGAAACACCTGGGAATCTTTTTAAAATCCTGATTTCTGAGCCTCATCCTCCGGAAATTCTGTTTCTTTGTTAGGGGGTGGGGCCACAACATTAGTAACAAAGAAACCGAATTTCCAGAGGATGAGGCCCAGAAATCAGGATTTTAAAGATTCCCAGGTGATTCTAATGTGCAGTCAAGGTTGAGAACCACTGTACTAGAGTCACATGGGCTAAAATGTAAAACTGCTGCCAATCACTGCTTCTCAGTCTTGTTGCAACCATCTGCTGCCAGTTAAACATGCTATATTGACAAGCTAGCAGCCGTGGGCAAGCTACGGCCCGCGGGACGGATCCGGCCCGTTTGAAATGAATAAAACTAAAAAAAAAAAAAAGACCGTACCCTTTTATGTAATGATGTTTACTTTGAATTTATATTAGTTCACACAAACACTCCATCCATGCTTTTGTTCCGGCCCTCCGGTCCAGTTTAAGAACCCATTGTGGCCCTTGAGTCAAAAAGTTTGCCCACCCCTGAGCTAGAGCCTTTCCCATAGCTACTAATGGACTTGCACATTGGGCAATCAACTTCATGATATTCACAGTAAAAAGAAAAATTAGATCATATACTTATGGGCGGGGGGAAGAAAGGGCAAAACAAAATAAAACAGCCTGCTACAAGAGTACCAAACCTATTCACCAATCCACTGATGTCCTGAGTTATTTATAATATGGGCAGGAATAAACATTCTGTTTGTTCATTCATGTCTTAGCCTAGTCATTTACTTTTATAAGATAACAAAATTTCCCATGACAAGGATATTTTTAAAATTGTTGTAAGTTTATTAGTAATTCCTTCTAAAATTCAGTGATTCCGTTATATTTTTTTTTCTCTTTTGCTGTTATTAGATACTTATTGCAGGTGACAAAAATCCTGAGGTTTTTCTTTCTATAAAGGCATTTCTCTCATAATACATGCTCTTATCTTCAAAGGTATGGAGATGGACCCAAACACAATTCAGTCCAGGTCTCTGCACCGGGTAGACTTGAGGTTACACTGACCTGTTTAGTGCGGTATGCCAAGCCAAGAACTTCAAGGCAGCCCCACATGGGCTAGTGCCCCCCTTGAAAGACAATCTGTCATTCAGAAAGTAAAAACTCATGCTGGTGACAGCAGCCCTCACTTCTCTATGGGCGGCAGCCTGAACAACAGCATGGAGACAGTCCTGCAGGCCACTGGCTGTGTGTGTCACCTTCAGAGTAAGGGTGTCCTCTGAGGATAAGTTCAGTGTGTCTAAGAATCTATACAAATTGAAAAAAGAAAGAGTGACATAAAGCTATTTAAATAAAAGCTCACTTTTATTATGAACTCTTACCAAAAAATTGTTTTATTTTCATTTTCTTTTAATTAAAGGTTGACTCACAGCCCAAAGAAAATATGGTGTGTATCTGCCAATAAGGCTTTTATACTAGTATCCTCAGTATTTACATTGACATTTTCCTGCTTATACAACCATAAAGTAATTTTCACTCAAATAAGAAAGAACTGACAGATTAGAACAGTAAGATATTCAGAAGCAATTATCATCATCATCACAGTCATGACAACATCTTACATATACTTACTGACCTTTTACTCTGATCCGGAGCACTTTTCCTAGTGATTTACATCAATTAACTAAAACAAATTCTGCATAATCTCTAAAACAGCATAGGTGCTCTTTGTTTACCCTTGTGTGATAGTTTTTAAAAAGTAATAAACTATATGTAATATAATCTTTAAAATACAGTAAAAATTATAATCTTCAGTGCAAAAGCAAGAGCAGATGACAGTAAGTTAAAAAAAAAACAAACAACACCTACTTAATCGAAAGGAAAAATAAAACCTAATAATTAGGTAAATGTAAATACTTTTTCAACTAAATGTAACAGCTTACTCTTGGATTTTCGTTTCAGAGTTCATTTGCTTCAACAGATTCTCAGTCCCATGATACCAGGAGAGGTTCCAAGCTATTCGAAGCATATCTGAGACTGGCGTCAGGGCCAAACAATCAGCAGATAACGGCAACACTATGGAGTAAGGACTCACAGCATGGTGGCCAAGTACATGTACTGGTAGGTGATACCTAAAAAAAATGTATACAAATAAATAAAATATTTTAAGCTCTAATGCCTCTCAAAAGAATGAGCCACAAACAAGGGCTAGTTCTGTGCCTCCCATTCTACAGCAACCCAGAGATCAGTTTCCAATTATTCTTTTACCTCTTCTAACCTCCCAAAACCATTATATTAAACTCTTTCCTGTGGACTTACCATATTCCATATTGTATCAGCCTTGTTTGCAGATATATAACTAATGCCCCTTGAAACTAAGCCCTATGGCTACAGTGAGCCATACATAACAGGTGTTCAGCTAAACATGAATGCCTACTTTATGTAAAACACTGTATAGTATCTACCATTTATTCAGTTATGTGCCATGGCGATGCGATACCCATTTTACAGATATTTAAAATGATCACCATGACCACTAAGGGACAGAATCACAGCCTGACAGAATTATGTTTTCACTTGCGAACATAATTGCAAGACCAATACACTTAGTCATTGTGTGTCACCAAGAGAACCCAGAAATATTTTTAGATCTAAAAACAGATTCACAGCCATATACATCTCTTAAACCAATCAATGTTAATTGACCATGTTTAACAGGACAGCAATGCCTAGCACGTTCAAATGTTAAAGAATAATTTTGCTAATAAAACATATCCCAAATCCCTAATTCATGTATTTATGACTAATGTTAGATAAATACAATCAGGTAAGATTACTACAGGGAAATTTTGTGTGCTTTTTCATTTCATGCATCTCAATAAAAGAGGCTAAGGTAGAGTTCTCTATATAGAAATAAGATTGATAATTTAAATAGAAATAATGCTTTTTAAAAGTTGGAATTTTCCACAAAAGTAACCAGGGCTCCTTAGAGAAATGGCTAATGCTAGGACTGAGACAGGGAAATCGAAGGTGAACCTGGGACATCTCTTTGTGCCAGAAAGAAGAAAGTAATAAAGACTCATGGGGCTAAGTGGAAAGGACCCAGAACAGGAGTCTACTTGATAGGACTGGTACTAAAGGAAAAGAGGTGAGGCTGTCAATCAAAGGACAATCCTTTAATAGTTAGAACATGAACTGCAAATTAAACCTAAGGAAGGTAGAAGGAAGAAAATGATAAAAAGCAAAGGGTACTACATCATGACCAGTTTTAGAAACCACTACACATCTACCAGATGGGCAATGATTTTAAAAATAACGTTACTATGAGTAAAGGAATAACAAAGCCGTTTTTTTCCCTGTGGACAAATATGGTCTTAAGCAAACTCTCTGGCTCCTGACAAGCAGACAACCAAAAAGATGTAGAATGTCAACAATCTTACTAAGTTGCTCTGCAGAGAGTAAGGATGACTCCCTGCATCGGTACTGGGAGATGTGGGATAGCGGGAAGCCACAGTTCTGAGCGCCCGAGTGCTGTAGGTCAGTGACATGCTGTGGGGACCTGGAGAGCAGGCCTGGGCACACTGACCAGATATCATCTTTTCTAGCAGGACACAGGGCTTCTATGCCAAGACAGCTCCCAGCACCACACATGTCATCTCATTCTAAGTATGACCTACTGTAGTTGTGTATTTTATTATTTAGCCAAACCTGAAGACCATGAAGAGTGGGTGATATCTACAATCAAGACATTTTACTACTAAGAATGTGTCCAAGAGGAATTCTTGCACAAATATATCAGGAGACTTATACAATACTGTTTAGAGGAGTGTATACTGCAGCAAAAACACAGGATCAACCCAAATACTCTTTGACAGGAAAAGGAACAAACTGTACTAGAATCTAACAACAGAATATTAAACGACAGTGAAAATGAGACTACATGTAATATATCTACCAAGCTATGAAATGGTATTTTTAAATTAATAAGCTTTGTTAAGATACAATTTACTTACCTCTAAAATACACAATTTTAAGTATACAGCCCGATGGATTTTTTTATATGTATTCATGTGTAACGACCACCCAGAATAAATACAGAACATATCCATCATCTCAAAAAGTTTATTTTTCTCCTTTTCTTGTAAATTAACTACTCTCCTTACCCTCTTCCAAGAGGTAACTACTGTTCTGACTTCTCTCACCATAGGTCAACTTTACCTGTTGAAGAACTTTAAGTAAATGGAATCTATAATATATGCCCTTTGTGGTTTCTTTCACTCAACATTAGGTCTATGAGACTCACGTTGTTGTGTGAAGAATAGTTTCCACAGATTGTGTACAATTGTATGAATGTAGCACAGTCACTTATCAATTCTTCCTATTGTTAGATATGTGGAATGTTTCTTGCTTTTGGCTACTATCAGCAAAGCTGTTATGAACAGTCTTTTTTTAAATATATTTTTATTGATTTCAGAGAGGAAAGAGAGGGAGAGAGATAGAAATATCAATGATGAGAGAGAATCATTGATGAGCTGCCTCCTGCACCCGTCCTACTGTGGATCGAGCCCACAACCTGGGCATGTACCCTGACCAGAATTGAACCTGGGACTCTTCAATCTATAGGCCAGTGCCCTACCCACTTAGCCAAACTGACTAGGGTTGTTATGAACATTCTTACACAAAGAAAAAAAGAGTAGGTGATGCAAATACCAACGCTGGTGAGAGTGTGGAGCAGCTGGCACTCACACTGCTGCTGAGAACGGAAACTACTACAGCCACATGGAATACTGTCTGAAAGCATCTATTAAACCTAAATACCCTCTGACCCATGTGTGCTCAAAGCACATGCCCACTGGTGACAGAATTACAAGTTCATTGCTGCACATTCTTACACTGAACCCTACAGAGCAATAGAAATGACCGACAGGCAAATCTTTCCACGTGGAGCAAAAGAAGCTGAACACAAGAATATACCCTATTTACAAAGTGCAAAACCAGCAAAAATAACATATAGTAACAGAAATTAAGATAGAATGACCTGTGTGGGTGGTGGAAAGTAATGAAGGAGCATAAAGGGGTTTCCTAGATTGCTGGCAATGTTCCTTATCTTATCTGCATGGTAGTTACATGGCATATTTGGAAAAAATTATCAACAATACTCGTAATTTATATACTTGTGGTTATGTAGGAAAATGTCCTTAATTTAAGATTTAAGGAGGTACATGCTAGAATAATTAGGAGGGAAATAAAAGTATGTCTGAAGATTATTTTCAAATGGGTTAGGACAGCCGTGGGCAAACTACGGCCCGCAGGCCGGATCCGGCCCGTTTGAAATGAATAAAACTAAAAAAAAAAAAAAAGACCGTACCCTTTTATGTAATGATATTTTCTTTGAATTTATATTAGTTCACACAAACACTCCATCCATGCTTTTGTTCCGGCCCTCCGGTCCAGTTTAAGAACCCACTGTGGCCCTCGAGTCAAAAAGTTTGCCCACCCCTGGGTTAGGAGGAAAAAAATTGCATATAAATAAATATATGAGAGAGAGTAAGAGAGACGAGGCCCATGAGTTAACAAGTGCTAAATCTAGGCTGGAAGTTATGCCAGTATTCACTGTCGAGTTCTTCCAACTTTTCTGTAGAAACATCTGCAGAGATACATTCACTGACCTCTCCAAGCACACAGCGAAGGGAACATTCAAACACTGTAAGTCACATGGTTTAAATGAGAGGTGAAACTGTGACAGACTGACAGATTCTGATGTCCATTTCTATAACAACAGTTCTCCTTCAAGAACAACAAAGAAAGAAATATGTCACCTTCTAAAAATGGAAACCGGCAAACTGAAGACTGATGGCGAAGCAGGTTGACTGGGAGGAATAACAGACCTGGTTTGTAAAGAAAACACAAGAGGAAACAGATGAGTGGACCACAGCTTTGTCAAACAATATAGCTTGTCTCACTGCCCTGACTAAAACTTAACTCACTAGGTGCAACTGGTTCTATCATTTAGTGTAGTTTTAACAAATTTGCTACTTCCTGAATTTGCTTATGAAGAGTAAATTCTGCTTTTCTTTAGAAGTCCATATGATAAATGATTCATACCATGCAGGTGCTGGACTGGCAGATGGGTCTGGTACCCTCTCCTGCTGACCCTGCTCAAGCTCAGTGGTAAACAGATATTACCATCCTAAACATCTTCCCAAAGGTTTTAAAACAATAAAATATTAAAGAAAAACATGCAAAATTCAGAGTACTGAAAAATGTATCACTTACAAAAATTACTGCAGTAATTTAAAATTTTGTAGTTCATAATGTTCAAAAATAAAAGTTCAGGGTGACTTTTTGAACCAATGGGTTTTTTAATACTGTTTACTCAAACCCAAAATCATCTGAGGTATACCTACCATGGATAGCATAAGCTTCATAAGTTAGAAATGTCTATGTGTTGCTATAAAATTGCATCAGAAACCTTAGATAAATAATTGTGAGTAAAAACACTTTCTAGGTCTTAGCACTCACCACATATCCATTCTTGATATTTCATCAAATAATAGGAGACAAAATAATGCTCCAACTTCAGTCACCACAGTACAATCTTCATGAAATATCAAGGAAACTGAGAAATAAAAGCATAATGTTATAAAATATTAGAAAGGATGAACTTCAAATTTAAAATATCTTAACTGGAAGGAAAGAGATGCCATTCTCAGAGAAAGGCAACGTTGACAGATTAGCTGACATTACTAACACTGTGACCCTCTAATATGCCGTGTGTCAGCGGTTCTCAACCTGTGGGTCGCGACCCCTTTGGCGGTCAAACGACCCTTTCACGGGGGTCACCTAAGACCATCCTGCATATCAGATATCTACATTACGATTCATAACAGTAATAACATTACAGTTATGAAGTAGCAACGAAAATAATTTTATGGGTGGGTCACATGAGGAACTGTGTTTAAAGGGCCAGAAGGTTGAGAACCACTGAAGAGGCTGCGACAACAGTGTCTGATTGGTAGGTGTGGGAGGAGCCTGTAACTCCCAGAGGACACAGACGCTGCTGGTGCAGCAACCATACCCCCTCACTGGGCAAAGGCCACTTTCAGTTCATCAGAAGCAAACTGATCCAGGGTCTAAGAAGGTTTGCCAAGTCTAAAGGTTTGGCTAAAGTTGCTCATTGAAAGATCTCAATATCTGCCCTTTCCTATAAACATATAATCACAGAACTTGGACTTTTGACTTTAAAATGTTGTATTTGTGCTAGTGTTGTTTTAATATGTATGTCTTGACCATTACAAGCCACCCTTAATGCCAATTTAACGACAGAATCAGATATCACACCAAAGGTTCAGGATGTAAAGGCATAAACAAACAAGGCTAAGGAAGCAGATGCTGGAAAGAAGGCAGTAGTGACTGCAGCCACAGCTCTCTCTCTCTTCACAGACAACAAGTACCGTCTGAGCTCCAAAGGACAGCTCCATCAACGGGCACAGAACAATTGAAGGCGTCAACCTCTCCCAGCTCCAAGGTCTACACAGTAACAGGGTTACCAGGAAGCTTCCACAAAAGTACTGAACACTTTCTATTGCAATGGGTTTTAGTGATTTAAAAAGTTTGCTATTCTGCAAGTTAAATGGAAAGTAAATGCTTCCTACAGTTAAACAATATCACTTAAAGCTTAACACTGATTTCACCACTAGCAGAATGTGTCCCATTTACCTCTGAACAGCAGGGTCAGCAGAGAAGCCTGCTGTGCGAGGGAAACACGGGCGCCTGGGTCCGCACAGAGAATCTTCCTCAGAAGTGTGAGGCTGGGCTGGATCAGACATTCTATCAGCTGGCCAGAAGGAAACACACCGTTACTCTATGCACATTAATTCTAAGGTGAGCTAAAACAGACTCTAGTATTATCTTATTATAGTCTTATTATTATCTCATTCTAAATTGTATGCTTTATCAAAATTGTGTGAAACAAAAATGCAAACAAATATTAAGAATTATTTTCCACTGAAAATAAGCTTTGTATATACTCAGGCTTATACATCATATAGAAATTTTAAGACTAGTTTTTCTTCACAGAGGTCCCACTCTTAGAAATAAACAAACAAGGTAATGGGTGTTAGGACTTAAACTCCAAGGACTTATGCAAATTCAGCTGAATTCACTTTAAGATCTGATTAATAAAAATACCAATCTGTAAATCCAGAACTATAAAAAATAAACCTGTTAGAAAAGAATAATTAAATTAACTAGTTCAGACTCTGAAAAGTACTAGAACTTTATGCATACAAATGAATCCTTGTATTTGCACATGACAAATTATTGTCTTTATATTGTTTCATTGACAATTCTTCCCTTCTCTAAGTCCATTAACTCAAAATGTTTAGAATTCTTTACAAGTTAATATATAAATATGGCTTACATGATCACTTTTCTATTAAGAAGATCTCTAACCTCAAATTGTTAATAGCAAATATAAAAGGGATTATAACATACACTATATATTTCCAAAGAATATGAACTACTTTTTAATAAGTATATACATGTGTGCACTACTATGGACTCAATATTTATGTCCCCAAAAAATTCATATGTAGAAACTTAATCTCCAATGTGATGGTATTAAGAGGTGGGGCCTTTGGGAAGAGATTAGGTCGTTAAGGGTGAAGCCCTCAAGAGTGGGAGTAGTACCCTGAGAAAAGAGACCTCAGAGAGCTCCCTCTCCCCTTCTGCAGGTGAGTTCACAGGGAGAAGGCTGTCTATGAACCAGGGAGCATGCCCTCACCCAACACAGATCTGCTGGCTCCTTGACCTTGGACTCCCAGCCTCCAGAACTACTGTGAGAATCAAATGTTTGTTGTTTATTAGTCATCTGGTCTATGGTATCCTAGTATAGCAGCCTGAACAGACTAAGACACACACACAGACGCAAACACACACACAGACACACACGAGATATTACTGGCTCCAAAAATCTACTTGCTTATAGATTAGTTACAAGTATTTAACAATTTGCAAAAAATTTTTTAATTTTTATTATTTATTTTACCCTCCCACAAAGTACTGTTTGATTGATGTATAGTTTCAATGAATACATACACTGAGAAACAAATATACATATTCATACTGGACTAGTAGCTTTCACTCCAACTACCTTTAGCTGCCACTTTTTTAAAAAGTAGTTTCCACTGCCCCCCGCAACACAGTGCACACCAAAATTATATTTTTGAAATGTTAATAATACTAAAAGAACACTTTCTAAAAGTGTTTGAATCGTTTTTGTCCAGGTTCCCCACATTTGCAGGGACTTATTTTCTAGAGTCTGTGTTACCGCTATTAAAGCCACAGACAGGCTGTGTATGCTTTTTTAATTCCTCTCACCCAGTTCCCACTAGTGCCAGGATAGAAATATTAACCATGCCCCATCTTCCCACTCAGTAAAAACCTTTGCATGTAAGTACAAAGTTATCATTTCTCTCAACTATTAAAGATAAGTTACAGATGTCACATATTGGAAAAAAACTAATCCAGAGAATAGACTAACAACACTATAAAGTTAACTGTATATTTTACACGTTTGGTTTTTTTTAAATAAGCCTTTAAAGAAAATACAGCTACAGGACATTATTATTTTACCCTCCCACAAAGTACTGTTTGATTGAGTCCTCTAAGAAAGATGGAACAAAATAAAATTACCATATACTAGGTAAACTGAGAAAGAAACATGCAATTTACTGTTGGAATTAGATCAATATCTTAGAAGGTAATTCCATCAAGTGACATTCTACAGGTAAAATAAAGATAATGCAGAGCAGAGACAACAAACTACTTTTATAAAGAGCGAGATGGTAATAAGTGAAGCTTTTCTGGCCACATATAGTGTGTCCTACACTTTTTTTTAAACAACTCTTTAAATATGTAAAAACCATTCTTAACTCAAAGGCTATAAAAAGAACAGACCAGGCCCAGTAGCAACCAATGTCTGCCAACCCAACACAGCAACCAAAGGTATTACCTTGCATGATCACAGCAAGCTGTTCTGCAGCTGACTTTCTCAAAACAAGGTCAATGTCATCTGAAATAAAGATTTCATACACCTTTTCAACAGTCTCCAACTGCAAACCAAAAGAAAAACAATTTTTTTCATCTACTTCCAATTCTCCTAGAAAATTTCATAGTTCATACCACAAGAACAAAAGCTCAAAAAGTCAACTTACTTAAATAAATGGCATATTTACATGTCAATATGCAACAATAATGTGCTAGGCCAGGGAGGAACTTAGGACCTCAAACAAAGAGCCATCCTGTCAATGAGCCACTTAATGTATATTTTTGCTAGGAAGTCATTCCTGACCACTAGCAGCCTAAAGAATTTCAGAGAAAACATCCCTGCAGGTAGGAGCAGGCAACCCTGAGATGAGCAGTCCAGACTCGTGACTCAGGACTTCTGTTGCTCCAGAAGCCCACAGCTGCAATTCCCTTGGCCCTGTCCCTTTCCTCCCACTTAGAGACCACAGAGAAGGCAGCCCTATGGGACTTGCTGCCCAGAACTCCAACAAAGCCACCCCAATACCAGACCGTGACTGACATTTATGCTAAAACAGGGTCTGAGCTCGCAAAACTCAGAAGGAAAAGAGAAGAAAAGAACAAAGACAACACTCCTCTTTTCTCCCACCCACTATCTGCTGGCCCTAAGTACTCACAAGACAGTTCTAGAATGGCCACTCCTGGCCTTCCTCCCCCACCACACTGAGGACACAGGAGGGACCACCAGTGCTTAGGACTCAGGGAACCCCCAACAGGACCTGGTGCGTGACCAGGGAAGTTTCTCCAATCCTCTTGCCATGGCTGTCATACGACCCCAAACACTCAAGTTGAAAGAACAATGAACATGTTTCCCATTTTAAGACTGTCTCTGTGGTTAACAGACCCAGGGCTTTGTTCCTAAGATTATTTGATGCCAATCAGAAACTCATTGTCCTGAGGTCTTAATGCTTGAGGGAGTGACTGTGTGTGTGTTGGGGGAGGGGGGGGATAGGGGAGGGAGGAGGTGGGTAAGTCAGGGGTCTGGGCGGGGCTAATTTGAATCAGCTGTCTGTCTGTTTCCCCATTTCACTTGCCAAGGAATTTTCCTAGCTTCTTACTATCCTGCCTCAATTCTATTCCATGTGGATCTACAGTACTACCACAGGCTTAGGGGGCTGCTCTACACTGAAAAGAGAAACTGCCTTTACCCCTATATTATTTTTTCCTCTTACACTGAAGAGGCTTAAAATTTTATCATAGGAACTTTTTCCTTCTAAGCTATTGTAGACAATTTCCAACATGAGAACAAGAATTCTAAATAGCTTTATGTCAGTGACATATGGTCTTAAGAGTCATCACAAAATTTATTTCCACTAAATTAGCCTTATGTTGTACTTAAGACACTATTCAAATTCACTGCATCTGTGGTGTATGTACTAAATGAAAAGGGACATAGTACCTGGCATTTGGTAGACACTCAAGAAATCTTAATCTGTTCCGTATCAAACAACCACATAGTAAAAAACTCAAAAGTCACCTTAATAATCAGCTCTTTCCTGTCATCCAATTTGAGTTCAATAGGTTTTTTCACGATAAATAAGTTAGTAGCTCTGGCGAGAACTCTGGCATCCATTGCAGGGCGCTTTCTCTCAGCCCCCTCTTCCCTGTTAAGATGACAGACTAACAGCTTCAATGCTAGTGAACGGACCCTGTGGAAACACAGTAAATGAGGCAACCTTCTGCAATCTGCAAACCTTCTGTAACATGCAGATGTATACAAAGTACAGAGGTTTTCAGTCACAACACAGTAATATATATCAACACAGTAATTAGCCATGCTTATAGTGCTATCACTGATAACATTTTACTTTTTCTATTAAAATATTTAGTGTATAACTACAATCATTCTTTCAATTTTACTTTTATTAATAAACATCAGAATTAAAGAATAATCAGTAATTACAAATGGAGAAACAGACTCACTAAGACTGTGTACTTCAGTCAACATCACATTCAACTTCACTAAGTCAAATTCAATCTAAATTCTGACTCCAAGTACAGTGATCATTCTCAATCACCAAAATGATCCATGAGCAGAATCAATGTTAGATCGGACCTCCAGGGGGGTATCACACTAATAACTAGTATCACAGCAATGTATAAAAATCTTATATTAGGGATCAAACAGATTCCCCTCGAATATGAACATACTTTGATTCCCTTCAGAAATCTGTTTTATCTGGAATGGATTAGGTATAAGGTCTGTTGAGTCCATTGAGATTTTAAGAAAAGATTACATACTGCATGCTACTGGACAGTGGAATGGAAAAACAGAAAACCATCACATGGCAAAGGGCATGGAATCGGGAGAGTTTGACAACCAGTTACCTATCACACCTGACAGGCTGTTGAACTACATGGGAACTGGGCACATTTCAAGCAATAATCCAAGTACTACTTATAAGACGATTAAAACCTGCATACTCAGAGAGGCCTCCTTAGCACAGCCATGGGCTGTGTCACCTTGCTGTGTCCTGACACCCTGAAGTGCCCTATCATAACACTGGTCTAGAGTTTTTACAATTAATAAAGTATAATTGATCAGACCTCTCTTCTCAATTCCATGCCCACTTCAGAAAGGGCCTGACTGTGTGTGCTGCTGGGTTCCGACAGCCAACCTCAGTTCCCAGCCACATGGGTGATGCTCAGTAAGTGCTTCCCAATTCTAACCAGGAATTTAAAATCATAAAAATCATCTCTAGAGACTAATATTTACTCCAAGTTGGTGTGGGAATCAGGCAAACTCTCCCTCTTCCATTTGTTGCAACCTCCTGAAAGCTAAGAACAGCAAGACACCTACGTAATGCTTTCCCCTGCTCCTTTCATTCCAGTCCAGCGCTGTCAGTTATGGACAGTCACCACCACAGTAAGAAAGTGAGAGTGGGATGTGTGAAGCATGTATTTATGCAACTCCTCCTCTGGTCTACAAAAGTAGCATCGTTTGGGGTTTAGCCTGGGACACCAGAATCCGGTTATTCATTCCTCTACACTATTTCTTTCAATGAATACATTTAGAGCAGCGGTTCTCAACCTGTGGGTCGCGACCCCTTTGGCAGTCGAATGACCCTTTCACAGGGGTCTCCTAAGACCATCCTGCATATCAGATATTTACATTATGATTCATAACAGTAGCAACATTACAGTTATGAAGTAGCAACGAAAATAATTTTAGGTTGGGTCACAACATGAGGAACCGTATTTAAAGGGCCAGAAGGTTGAGAACCACTGATTTAGAGCACATTTATGTTCCAGGTACTCCATGAAGTGCTGATGGTGTAAAGATTAGCCAATGTACAAGGTTCCTGCCTAATGGAATTTATGGTTTGGTGGGTTGTGGTAAAATCAATCAAATAATGAAAGCAAATATGGAACCCAAACTGCCTTAAGTTCTGTGTAATGGGACCTTACCCAAAGAGAGGTCTGGCCTTGCCCTCCACTCCTGGGAGGGGATCGCTAAGTCCCTGGAGTGCCCTGCCTGCTAAGAATGTCTGTTTACCAGGAGACCTTGGGCCCCCAAGGGTGAACAGGAAATAAACTTCTTGTGTTCAGTGACCATTTCGGCGGAGGGATCATGCTACACCAGCACATGAATGAACATGTGGAAGCCAATCCCCCACCCCAAGGAGCACGGACACTTTAATTCCATCTGCGCTGCATCACCCCTGACTTTACTCTCTACACTACACTGAGATTTTTATAATCTCTCCTTTTAATTTTCCTCCTTCCATTTTCTTCATATTTTATTTCCACCTACTTTCTTATTTTCAGTCTGATCATCTGCTTATAAATAAGCGGCTGTTTTATTGTGGTGTGAGGTTGGGGAGAACAGAATTGTCCACTGTCAAAAGAACATGTTTGTTCCTCCCAGCTTTTCAATCCACTGTTTTTCCTCATCACTGCTTATCCCTCTGACTACACTTCTGTCTCTTCTCAATGAGGAAAAATCTAACCAGTTACCTAAGAGAGCACCAGAGAACACGCATGTTGCATTGACAGAGAGGGAGCAACCGCACACTTCTGCTTTTCTTTGAGTTAAAAGAATACTGACACTGATGTCAGAGGACAAGCCAGGCAAGATTAACCCTTTGCGGTCGTATTAAATTTGGACATGGGTGTCGTACTGGTCGGAATTAATTTCCATTGAAAGAGCAGTGATACATAACATGCAAGATTATGAAGGATAAACAAGGTTTATTAATTCTTTTTTGGAACTACGTCACTACTAGTAGAATCGATATAAATGTTATCACTTTCTACGTCAGAGTCAGTATTCAAGGTGCCAAAATAAAACTCTTCATCATTACTTTAGATTCACAGTACACTTCTTTCGGTAACTTTCTTTTTGCCATTTTGGAGTATTATTTTGAAATATCTTAACAAGCAAGAATGCCTAATTATAGTTAAACGTACTTTGTAAAGCTTTATTTGAAATTCTGCGAAGTATCTCCGAAGCTTGTCGATTTCTTCACTGTCAAAAGGCGACTGACTTGCCACTGTGTTTTGCATGGCAAGTGTGGAACGACCACGTTTGTTTATATTGAGTTTCGATATCTCCGATTTGTCGGGGCAACGTTTTGGTTTGTGGCAAGGTCGCTTAGACACTTAGGAGCTTTCAGAGAAATTATGAACTGATACATGAATGAATAGAGTTAAGATTCGTACAGTTCCTTGCTGTGGTGGCTGACAGCAGACATACGACCGGAACGGTAAAAAAGCTTTGGTGGCTGAGAGTAGACATACGACCGCAAAGGGTTAAACCACCTGCACACTCTAGTACATAAGGCAGCTGGTCTACTACATCTTTGTGAAACCCTTAATTTTCAGAACAGATGTTTAGAAAAGGATCACTCTAGGCCAGGGGTGGGCAAACTTTTTGACTCAAGGGCCACAATGGGTTCTTAAACTGGACCGGAGGGCCGGAACAAAAGCATGGATGGAGTGTTTGTGTGAACTAATATAAATTCAAAGTACACATCATTACATAAAAGGGTACGGTCTTTTTTTTTTTTTTTTAGTTTTTTTCATTTCAAACGGCCGGATCCGTAGTTTGCCCACGGCTGCTCTAGGCTAACCGTTTCTAAAGAGGGCAGACGAGATGCTCTGTACCTTCTGCAATCTATTGATGTGCATGGCTCCTACCTGCGCACAGCACTATGAACAGCACCGAGGGCAGCAGCTACACCAGATGCAGGTCCAATCACTGCACTGGGAATGGATGGTATGTTTCAGGAAAGCACCCAAAACTCCTACATTTGCTTATAGCTTCACCCATTGGTTCCCTCTGTCTAATAAAAGAACCACTTTCCTTTACCTTCCACATTCTATTCTGTCCCAGACTGATGTAATGACTGCACTATACTTTCTTAGAATGTCCCCATTCATCTTTCACACTCAAAAGCCTCCGATGCACTTACGACGGCTTCTTCACGAGCAAGAGTCGCAGAATGGACTTGAGCCGGGTGGTGCAGGGGAGGACCTCCTCCCCTCCCTCAGAACTCGCCTTGCTTAGGAGGAGGATACAGTTCCCCAGAGGGTCTTCCGGGTCAGCATAGCCCTAACAGGTTTCAGTAAAAAAGAAATTATTGTTTGATTTTATATATATTGCTTAATTTTTTAACCTAAAAATAAGAACTACATTGACCTGTCAGGCAACTCAAAAATATCTCCTAATTTAGCTACAAAGTCACTTTTCAAAATAACCTACAAGCGGTAAGAAGCCTACCTACAACTGTATTTAAAAATAGTACTGAAGAACTTCAGGAAAATATGCCAATCCTCAGGATACCTGCCAGCTTTCCTGTTTTCTGGGACTCTAGTAGATGAGGCCCCCAGGTCTTCAGACCTGTCCCCACAGGACAGAGGTGGAGTATGGCAGACACACCTGCGTGGAACCGAACCACATGAGCCTCACAGCTCCTGCTCTACAAGCTAGTTCCTATGAGGGCACTGCCCACCTCTACCTTCTCTGAGAGGGTCAAGGACCTGGACTTCCCTCACTCCTTTAACGCCCACAAGGACTGCTAAAAATGCTGTTTCCAAGAGTTCATTAACCAAAGGAAAACTCTAGTTACATACTAGTGTATGCATAGAAATCATTCCTGAAGCAAGTTTAGTTATGGAAAGTCTACTTAAAGGCACTGTTAGCTTGGCCGAAAAGCCTTCACATAAGGCTGATTCTATTCCTCACGTCCTGCTAAGTGCCCGCACCTCACTCTGAACCTCCCGCCCACATGCACAGATAAACACCTCTGCCAGAAACCCCTTCCTATTCATGCTTCCATGGATCAGAAAGGGAGGCTACATGTCATACCTGCAGCACTGGGATGACAGGACACAGAGACTCGATAAACCTGTTCCAGGTCAGCGCTGTCATCATCAATTGTCCCTGCAGCAGGTATAGCAGGATGGCCTTTGCTGCAGCATTCACCTGCCCAATAACACAGACAAGACATCCGGCAAAATGAGGTGGTCCCCCGAAGGACTTGTATGAATGCATATAAGTATAACCAGTGGACATAAGACACTGGGGGGTAGGGGAAGCCAGGGGATTGTCAAGTGCAGGGGAAAAAAAAGAATACATATGTAATACCCTTTGTAATACTTTAAGTAATAAAACAATAAAAAAATAAAAATAAAACAGGAAACCAAAAGGTAGCAATGACTTGAATGCATGGCAATGGTTCTTTTTCGTACATTAGAGTAATTTAAAAAAAAAAAAAAAAATGAGGTGGTCCCTGAGTTGCCGGACACACCTGGAACACATGATAAAACCTAGAAAGGTACAATAAGTAACATCTCATCCTTCAAATGTTCCTATTTCTGAAACATCATCTTACACTCTGCTCCCAACCAGTCTTCCCCTAATGATATCCTTTTATCATCTATATAATAAAAGCCTAACCGAACCTTACAACGATGACCAGAACAACCGGTCGCAATGATGTGCACTGACTACCAGGGGGCAGACGCTCAACACAGGAGCTGCCCCCTGGTGGTCAGTGCGCTCCCACAAGGGGAGTGCCACTCAGCCAGAAGCCGGGCTCACAGCTGGTGAGCACAGCAGGAACCTCTCCACCTCCGCAGCAGCACTAAGGAGCAGCAAGCCAAGTGGTAAGGAGCGAGGAGTCCCAGACTGCGAGAGAGCGCAAGCTGGGTGAGGGACGCCCCCTCTCCCCCTCCCCATGGGTACAAATTTTGTGCACTGGGCCTCTAGTTAGGGTATATTCTTCCACTGAACAAAAATGTGCCTCAGTGAAATAACCTGCTTACTATAAGGACTGTTTGGTTCTCTACATCCTAGATAAAAAACGTAAGTAAAATGTTTCATCTGTCCTGTATTTTGATTCTCACACTTTCAATAACATTTCTTTTTATTTAAACAATCAACATGTATGAACCCAACATTAAAGACAAGTTTATTTTCTGTTTCTTATCATACTCTCTAGTTATATTAGGATATTACCTTGATTTAGCTGAGTGTCTAAAGAATTACAGTTTTTTGCACTTACTTATAACACACAATACCTCATTTTTGGGATCTTGAATGCCAAATGCAGAGATTTCATACAGGACTTTTGGGTGAAGTAGAAAATGAATTCCACTACAGAGTGAAGACACAGGTTTAGTGACATTATGGACACCTAAACATTCCTGTAAAATAACACAAAACGTTTTTTAAAATTAGTGACTGATTTTTCAAAAGGATGCATCTTTCTCTGTTTAAAATTCAATTCAATTTTACTTTTCACTTCATTGAAACTTTTCTTTTACCTCAGGAGGATGAAAAAGATTCTCTTGCCCAACAGTTTTTTAGTCTGCATGAGATATGTATTATGTTACCTTCTGCCAACAACAGAGTCTTGATAAACTGAATAACCAAACTATTGAGACAACCAAATCTCTTAAGTTGTTCATAATGATAGACATAAAAGAAATAAATAACATAGTAAATGATATACCCAAAAGAATTAAAGCAGGAACTCAAATAGATATTTGTACACCTGTGCTCATAAAAGCATTGGTTACAATAGCTAAGAGATAAAACTAATCCAAATGTCTATCAACAGAGGAATGGATAAACAAAATGTGGTACATACAAACAGCATATTCAGCCTTAAAAAGGAATGCAATTCTGATCTGTTATAACATGGATGAACCTTGAAGATACTATGTTAACTGAAATAAACCAGACACATACATAAAATATATGATTCCACTAATATGAGACACCTTGAATAGTCAAATTCAGATAGAAGTAGAATGGTGATTGTTAGGACCTGAGGGGAAGGGAAATGAGAAGTTATTGTTTAATGGGTACAGAGCTCCAATTTGGGAAAAGGAAAAAGTTCAGGAGATGAATAATGTTGATGGTTGCACAAAAACATGAATGTACTTACTACCACTTAACTGTACACTTAAAAGTGATTTAAATGGTAAATTTACGTTATGTATATTTTGCCACAATTTTTAAAACGCAAATTAGACAGAGCTAAAGAAAGAAATAGCATACTGAATGACAGCACTGAGGCATTTCATCAAAACAAAACAGAAAGAGACATAAAAATACAGCAGGTCCTGAAGAACACGAAGGGTGGAAGAAAGCCTAACATAAATCTCATGAGTGCCCCCTCTGGAGAGAATGGCGAAGCTAAGAGAGATAATGACTGAGAAATACCCAGAAATGCGCGCAGACATGAGTTTTCAGATTGAAGAGTGCTGAACAAGGTACATAAATTTTAAAAATGTATAAAAGACACATTGTAATGAGACAAGAAAAAGATCTTAAAAGGAACTATGAATAAAATGCAAACCAGTTATATTAATAGTAGACTTCTCAACAATGAAACAAGGACAAAGCAGTATCACAAAGTGCAAAGGAAAAACGGCAATCTATCTGTAATAATCTATAATAATAAAAGTGTAATATGCTAACTAGACCGGACGTCCTTCCAGACGACCTTCTGGACGAAGCTGGGGCTATGAGGGAAGCCTGGGTCCCAGGTGCCTGCCAACAGCAGGCCAAAGGGAGGTCTGGGTCAAAGGTGCCGGTGGCCGGAGGGAAACCCAGGTCCCGGGTGCCAGAGGGAACCAAGTGCCAGCAGCCAGGGGTAGGAAGGCCTACTCTTGCACGAATTTCATTCGTTGGGCCTTTAGTAATTATATACCCAGCTAAGCTATCATTCAAGAGTAAGGTAAAGCCAAGATATTTTTAAACATATGTACCATTAGTCACAGAATGTCACTGAAAATATAGAAAAACTTATTTCAGTAAAATGTAGACTGAACCTAAATATTTATCAATAAAGAAAAGAAAGAATATTCTAACTAAAGAGCAGTTAAGATGAATGGACCAGGTAGATCTCAAATCCTACTATTAGATGAAAAGAATAGGCAGCAAAAACATATGTATAGTATAAAACAGTAATACGTAGTATTTATAAAGACATGCGTATATAATAAAGATACATATAAACAATGGTTGGGAAGGATAAATGCCAACTTTATAAGCAAGGTTATCTTGGTGGAAGAAGGAAAAGAAAGAAGCTTCCACTATAAGTGTAATATTTTTATTTCTCTGAATAAAAAAGGATCGGAAATAAAAATGGCAAAATGTAAACATTTGTTATATATAGACTAGAGGCCCAGTGCATGAAAATTCATGACTGGAGTGGGGGTTCCCTCAGCCCGGCCCGCCCCCTCTCACAGTCCAGGAGCCCTCAGGGACAGGAGGCGACCCAGCGATCAGGAGAAGGCGACGCCCCCATTACACCTCTGCTGTTGCCACTGCTGATAGCGCAAGCCTTGACCAGACCTGCTTACCTGGGTCTTGGGCGGCCCTGGGCGGCTGGACAGCCGCCATCCGAGGCTTGCCTGTGCCTCGAGCCGGCCCCGGGCATCTGGGGTGCTGAGGGGACTAGGGAAGTTTAATTTTGAAGTTATAAGAAGAAAATCCAATGTTAGTTCACAAAACAGAAAACCCACCTTAACAATTTCCAGACAGCAGTGGTAAGTTTCAACTTTCACTTGTAGCAATGGGTGAGACAACATACGCAGAAACACTTTCTGACTTTCCCCTTGTAGTAATGGACTGGCCTGTGCTGATTTCCAGCTAGCAAAATGATAAAATATCCACATCTAAGGCAAGGAAATTACCAAACAAAGGAAGTTGAAAAGCATAGTTGAAGGAGTTTCTTCCTATTCCAATTCTTTTAACTGGGATCATATTTAACTAACCCAATATTAGTATTTACCTAAGTACACACTTGTTCCATGGTAGGGAATACTCCCTCAAAGAGTACAGAAAACAACCCAGCCAGTGTGGCTCAATGGTTGAGTGTCAACCCATGAACCACGAGGTCACAGTTCGATTCCTGGCCCAAGTTGCAGGCTTGATCCCAATAGGAGGTGTGCAGGAAGAAGCCAATCAATCTTTCCCTCTCATTGATGTTTCTATCTCTCTCTCCCTCACTGTTCCTCTCTCTAAAATTAATAAAAACATTTTTTAAAAGAGTATAAAAAACACTAACAATGTCTTTAAAAAACTATACTTGTTATATCAATTGGTGCAGCCATATGGAAAACATGGAGGTTGCTCAAAAAATTAAAAATAGAACTACCATATGATCTAGCAATCCCACCTCTAGGTATATATATTTAAAGAAAAACCAATATCTTGAAAAGATATCTGTACTCTCATGTTCATTCCAACACTATTCACAATAGTCAATTTTTGGAAATAACTCCAGTGTCCATCCATCAATGAATGAATAAAGAAAATAGCTGTATGTATACAATAAAATATTACTCAGCCTTAAAAGAAAAAGGAAATCCTTCCATTTGTCACATGGATAAACCCAAAGGATCTGATGCCAAATGAAATACCTGGTTTGAATGGATACCAAAAGAAATAGCCCCAGCTGGTTTTGCTCAGTGGATAGAACCTTGGACCATGGATTGAAGGGTCCTGGGTTCGATTCTGGTCAAGGGTATGTACCTCGGTTGAGGCAACCAATCTAAGTTTCTCTCTGTGTGTCTCTCCTCTCCACTCTCTCTAAAAATCAATGGAAAAATAAAAATTATTTTTTTAAAAAGTGTAAAATCCAAGGATAATTCACTTAGGTTGTAGCATGGCATTTTAAAGTTTACTCTTGAATAAAACAGTAAACTGTCTTAATACAGTTCATATACAGTTCAAAGGTCAGACACATGTAAAAGCAATTTAAACTAAAAAATAACAATATTTAAGACCAATTTCATTTTCACTGCTCCTAACTTCACACATATGCATGCACACACCATGCACATGCACACATACACACACAATGTCCTATAATATAATCATATTAAGAAAGAAAATATTACATCTTTGAACAAAGGTTGATGATTTCCTCTATTAGAGGTAAATGGTAATGATAGGAAAAGCTATGCAAGGCGTGGTCTGCCATCTCCACTAATTCTAAAAGATTCTTCTCTCCCTGAAAAAAAACAAAAAAAAAAAACAATGTCAAATTCATATACAAAATTCTCCACAGCTATCTAAGCAGCTTTAAGAAATTAGATTATTCAGAGGCCCTGAGATTCCTTACATTTACTTAAGTCCATTTTCTCAACAACCATCTAAAATGTCAGTCCAGGAAGAAAAATGTGGGAGAATCCCTACACTTGCCACATGAGGCTGTGTATTATTTATCTCTGAGCAGGCTTAAACTTGTAATTGAGTGGCCTGGTCCTCTGACTACTTGTTCGTAGTCCTATGTCCCTGCTAACTGTAGCTCAAGGCAGGGCTCATGTTCTTATAATCCACCTCCCCCTTCTAGAATCCTGACCAGTTCTGAAAACATGAGAGCAATCAATACAAGTGTGGTTAACTTGACAATGCAAAAAGCTACAGAAATAATTCAACTTAAAGACAATTCAAACTTCTATCATGGAAGAAACAAGAAACCAGAGGAATCAAGATATGGCAAAAAGAAGAGGGTAAAAAACGATAATGGATAAATAAAGGAAAATTAGAAATATAACCTTCAGACAGACTCCACTGTAAGGGCAAAAATAAAAGTTTTTGTCCCAATTTTTAAGATCTTCAGGACCCAATTTGATATTTTCAGACAATAAACAATTATTGTAGTCAATGTTTACCCTAAGACTCAACCCTTTCACTGATCATATTCTAAAGAATATCCTAATAGTATCTCTAAAAGGAATAAGGAACAATACATAATTATTGCTACAACATCGTACCTAAAGGCAGCCTATGCCTTACAATCTAGTTCATGACTTTATTTAATAACAATATCAGGCTCTTTGTGTGAATAAATAAGGGTCTATAAATATTAAAGAAAAAATGTGTCTCCAAGTAAGCACTAAAATGGTCCTTATAATTCTGTTTATGTTGTGTTACTCTTCATACACACTATGCCACTTCAAAGAGGCACTTATAAGTTTAAGCCTGCTCAGAGATAAATGAGAATAATTACTCATTTTCTTCATACTACTGGTTTCATTATATACACCATTCATTAATCTAAAGTCTTCATCTTACTTTTATACAAGCCATATCCTTACTTTATTCTGATAACTGACCCATTCACTAACAATGTATCCTATGTCTAACAATTCAACTATTATATGTCCATCAATTTGAAAAGTATAGGTTACACTTTCTAAATATTTTATCAAAGGAATTTAAAAGAGATATTAATAAAGCTTTTTACCTCCTTCCCAACATCAGACAGGAAGTTACAGGCACACTCAATGGAATAAACGGCCTCTGCAGCTCGTTTATAAATGCTGTAGTTTTCAGAATTCAGCTGTTCCAAATAGGCCACAGCAGCTTCGTGAATGTTTGGGTATTCCAAAGAAATAGGCATGTCCAATGAAACTAGAAACAATGCTGCTGACATAGACTCTGGTAAAAAGTGGCTTGCCTTGATAAATGGGGAAAAAAAATGTTAATTAAAAAAACAATTTTAGATAAACATAGCAAAGTATAAATGTAGTTCAACTTTCTAAGTATTCTCTATCTCAAAGTCTCTGCTTTTCCAAAGAAACCTCTATTCCCCAAAACACCATCTCTCTGTATGGCTTTATTCAATACAATTTTCCTATGCC